CTCACTTTTCATGGATATCACAGAGTGACTGTAGATATCAACCAAACATGGTGTTTGGTTGTCCTGAATCTGTCTTGCTGGCTGCAAGGTTTAAATATTGGACTGTGCTGCAGTGACATCTAGTGCTGATAGTTGGAGTTTTGTTTCTATTTGTATATATTTTTTTGCTTCATGCTTCTTATCCAGTGGTGACAGCATGTAACACATTCAAGTGAAAGAAGCAATGAGAAATTAAAGAAAAATAAAGACATTTGAAACTGGACAGCGGCTCAACCTGGAAGAAGAAAAATAAATAATTCAATAAATAAAATTAAAATCGTCCTGCTCACGTGTGATTACTATACAAATAAAACCCTCAGTATTCTCTTTGAAGGACACATGAGTTCAACACACAGCTAATAGCTAATCCAAACAGGAAATTAGTGCACAGTAAAACCTCATATCTAACCAAACAAAAAACACTTCAGATATTACAGTTTTATAGTGAGCAATAACCTACAGACAGTAGTATCTAACTGCAATAAAACTGAATTTGAATCCTGTTGTCTTTTGTGACTGGATTTTGTGCAATGGTGCTGTAAAAAATGTACGATCAATGCCAATGTTGCCAATGCCACGTACAATATTTATCTGAGAAGGCAACTACGGTATGGTTAAGGTTAGGGAAACCCCATAGTTATGACAATTAACTAAATTATGGTGTGGTTAGGCAACTAAATCACTTGGTTGTGGTTAGGGAAAGATTGTCTTTACAGTTAATAAAAAGGCACATAATAACCACCCTGACCTCCAAACCTTGCTGTCTGCTTGTAGGGCACGCAACCTCCTGCTTTGGCACTAAACGTTAGCATAGTGGGGGGTAGAATTGTCCATTATGGATGTAATTCCTGCTTGGGTGCAGGTGGAAGCAGAAATGTAACAGTTTTGACAGCTATGCCAAAACCTTTGGCACATAAAACGACTAGAGATATAAACATATTTTTGTAATTTGTATGAAAAGTCCTTTAAATTTGAGATAACAATACATCTCACACATAATGTTGGATTACCATCCAGTTTTGTTATGATGCTGTTTGTGTATATAGGCTGGCTGGGGTGATATAAGTCCATTCTCTACAGCTCTCTGTCCCTTGGTGACTTATTAGCTAAACTCCAATTTATCTTGCTCAGTATGTCATGAGCAGCTTATGTTTTTCAGTTCTTAGTTATTGCACCTACTGCAGAATATGACATGGGATCACTGGAGGGGCTCAGACTGCTGCTGTGCAATGAGAGACAGGACAGAATTCACATCTCCCCACCACCTCCTGCTCCTCCTTCTGCCTCCTCCATACACTCCCAACTCAGTCAATTACCGAGATGGAGCTGTGATTGATCTTGTTGCAGGCAGACAAAAGCCCTCGGGTTCAATAATAGCAAATGATCTCTTCAGCAATCCTGAGCAGTCTGTCCATGAGACTCGTTAAGAACACATGCAATCATTCAAGTCACAGGCTTATTGATTACAAAAGGCAGATACATTTCAACAAGGACCACAATCAATAACCACAGCTGTGCACGGACAATATAAAAGTCTTTAATCAGAAATAATTGAACCGGATGACCATGCATGAGTTTTACAGAGTCAATCTCCTCATCGCAGCATCGTTGATGAATTAGGTGATATGACTGTGTGTTTGAGGGGTGCATTGACACCATTGATGAGCAGCTAGTTTGTGCATGAATGATGAAGCGTATGTGTGAATGAAAGATGCACAGAACATGTGAGAGAGAGAAAATTGAAATATGACCAAACAAACCCGATCACCTCACTCATAACCTCTCATAATCATGAAATCATACAGCCGTCAAAAGCATAAAGAGACACTGGTGGGCTTTTAATAACCACTCCAGGTCTTTTCCAGTGAGTGAATAGGCATGTCAATTATTAGAACAATTCACAGCTGCTTTGATGTCAATTGGTTTCCGTATTTTTCAGCCTAATGTGCCGCAAGGATCTTATATTTCCAAACATTAAAGGAATAGTTGGATAAACATTTGCTTTCTTGCCAAGAAAGATGAGAGGATTGATACCACTGACAGCGGTGACAATCTTTTCATCCAATTCTCGGGAAGAAAGCAAATAAACACGTTCCCCAAAATGTCCACCTACTCCTTTACAACGTATGCTACATCCCTAAGCACACCCAACCACTACAACAATCTAACAACAGCTTTTTACAACTATCCCACAATGTGCCACTGCGGCATTTTAATGTAGAGAGCTTCGCTTCAGACCACATTCTGCCCCCTTGTCCCTGTTAGATTCATTTAATAGGTCAAAGGCATTGACATCCATCATATACAGGAGGAACAACCATAAAGGGCAAAGAGGGACTGATAAAAGAGGGAGAGACAGGCGGAACGACACGTTGTAAAAGCCAAAGGCCTCTGGTAAGGACTGACGCAGGGAAACTGAGGCAGCAACAGGGAGGACATAGACATCAAGAAAAAGGGACAGCAGAAAGTATAATGTCTCAGGCGGCCTTCTAAATCACTCGGTGCTGTGGTGCTGTAGGCACACTGCAGCTCTTTTTTTCATAATATGCTGTAAACTACACAGTACATTAAGCAGCTCTTTGTGTCTGCAGTACATTCTGCCTGAACAGTGTAAACGCTGCGACAATGTGAGCTGACAAATGCCTCGCATTTAAAAGACACCGCATGAAATCCCATGGTATCAATGTGGCTGATAACCGGCGACACCGCTTGGCAGCTTGTGGGCGTCATTCTGGAGAAAACAGACACAAACAGTAAACAGCATGCGAGTCTTTAGGCATGTCCCTATTTTTATGCAACTGGCCAGTCAAGGCTACACACACATACATAAGCGAATAAAGCGTTTTGTGTAACACGGAAAGAACATCTCTTGAATCTCAAGTGTTTAAAGTTGGCTTATTTCCACCCTCCTCTGGGGTCCTGGTGAGTGGAGGATGTTGTACATTCATCAGAAGAGAGAGCCGTCAGCAGCCTGGCTGACAAATGACCTTGGCCGCTAATGCCCGCCTAGCTGTAATGTGTTTTTTTTATGTTGACAATGCGCTGGTGATATTCTATGTTCTTCTTTTTGTCAACAAAATCCATTAAAAAAAAGCAACTATGAATTGATTCTTCTAACTAATATACAGTGATTAAATAACCACAGCCTGATATTGCTTATTCCTCTATACCATAGCCTTCCATTGTTGTCACGATATAGCACTTGTTTATTCATTATGATCAACATGGGCATTGTAGATCATTTTTTGAAGTAGCAGTTTGATTTTATATACATGTGATAACAAAGAAACTACAGGCTATTATGTGAACAAAATGTCGTCCTCCACATCTGCATCAGCTTGGTTTTAGTCCTTGATTTGTTGACAATAAGAAAAATACAGCAAAGCATCAGCTTTATCCTTTAAGGATTACATACAGAAGAACAACATTCACAATAAAGTGTGATACATAATGTATAAAATAGATTGTAATAAAAACAGTTACAAAGCAATGTCAATAAACGGTAAGAAAAACAATGAACAAGAACACAAAATCACCACCTCTGCCTCTCTTTGAAATTTTTACAATTTTTTGCAACATTTTATTATTTAATAAATTAAAAAAATTCTGTTTCTAAAAAAGATTTTAATTGTGTTAAGTGTGAATTTCCCAGAAGCACTAAAATCAGAGCTACCGAGGGAAAATAATCAACATGCAGAGAGAGCATGAGAGAGAGAGAGAGAGAGAGAGAGAGAGAGAGAGAGAGAATCATTGATGTCTTCCAAGATAAATAACTGAGCAGTGATTATTATTGCAGAGGGCTATTGGGAATGTTTGTGTCCCCCAGACAGTAAGTTAGTTAGTTGGCTGGGTCTCCTGTCTCCTCCTGAGAAATAAAGAGAACGTTCCAGTGGAGTGACCAAGAAGCCAAGATGGCTGTCACAATGCCTGTTGCCGCCTCCCACAGCCAGTCCCAGGGTGGGTCGCTTGTCGGCTATGATCCTTTTCTTTTTAGCAAAGTGAAGGTTGATGATGAACGCTGTATGCAGACCTCTGCTGTGCGTCCCATGACTCCATGAAGCAGCATCGCACCCTGCTCGCTGACAGCATTGAAGCGACTTTATTTAGTGTGTGGTGAGCCAAAATACGAGCACTTACATGCTGTCTGCCTCTAATGTGAGTGCCTCTAGGTCAGGGGTGTCAAACTCAAGGCCTGCGGGCTGAATTCGCGCCACCACGTAATTTTATGTGGCCCGTGAATCCGCCAGCAAAAACAAAATAATAATAATACAAAAAAAAATAAAAAAGTTAGACTTGATAATACAAATATCCCCATAGTCGAAATTATGAGATAGAAAGTCGAAGTTATGAGATAGAAAGTCGAAGTTGTGAGATAGAAAGACATACTTATGAGATACTTAAACACAACAGTCATAGAACCCCTGAAAGGATTTTAAGCTTTGAACAAAGTTATTGTAATAACTTGTGTTTGATATTTGTCTTTGCTATTTTCTTTAAAGGTTTGATAGAGTAATGTGGGTTCCTTAACCCTAAAGTAAAAGGATTTAAATTATAATTACAGAAATGTGCTTAAATATATTTTTAGATTTATACAGTATAACTGCATGTACAATATTTTAACACTTGAATAATCAAATGCAGAGACAGTTATTTACCAATATGTTAGGAGACGTTACATTTACACAGTCTTACATTTACAAACGGCCCTTTGAGAGGGCGACCGTGATGCTGATGTGGCCCAGAGTGAAAATGAGTTTGACACCCCTGCTCAAGGTGAGTGAATATGCAGGATCCTGTTGAGACAAGGAACAGTCATTGGCTCTTGTGCGGGTCTTTGTAGCAGCTTCACTTTCAGAGACGAAATACAGAAGAGCAGGTGATGTGAATAGCTTAAGAAGCAGCCTAGTTTTTTTTGAAGTACCTGTGTTGTGTTCCCTTCAGTGGCTGCTAATCTGCAAGAGGGGGGGGGTAAACAGAATCAGTGCCAAGATATTTATAGGATAATTATTTGACAAATTTCTAGTTCTTGTATTTCCTTTGTCAATGTCAAGAGTGTGCTCAAAAAACACCCACGCACTATACCAAGGAGTTCCAACTAGGAGACCTTACTGGTGAAAAAAGAGCCAGTACTTGTTGTGCCAGAGGGTATGAAAACGAATCACTTCATTATGATGTTTGACTTGGATGAGCACAAGGACAAACATGGGAGGAAAGACGCCGGAGGAAATCCTTCAGGACTGCAAAATACAACAGCAAGGTAGCAGTTTGTTTCTTAATACTGGTCACATTACAAAACGTTAATGTCACTTTTTATATTGGTTCCACAGCTCTGTCAGAGAGGTGGTTGTATAAACAGTGGTCAATTAAGTCAATACCATTGTAAACTGTATTAGAATAAGAGAACAAATAAGGCTGCCGTGGTCCCTAATAGGAATAGTAAGGCTGTGGATAATTATCTTATGAAAAGTTATTTTTAGTGCTTTTTCGTGACTGTTTTCATACGAATGTCCAGCAACATGAGCGTTCAGTGTGTCTGTGCAACCTCCTGCGGTGTTTAGGCAACACAACTACTCGGTTAGGTTTAGAAAAAGATAGTGGTTTGGTTTGAAATAACTGAGGAGAAGGCATTTCATAAAGGTCCAGTGTGTAGGATTTAGGGGGATCATAATATTCATAACTATGTTTTTATTAGTGTATAATCATTTTGCTACCTAGAATAAGCCCTTCCAGTCTACAAAGGGAGCGGGTCCTCTGGAGTCCTCCAGGTTGCACCGTCATGTTTCTACAGTAGCCCAGAACGGACAAACCAAACAACGGCTCTGGAGAAGCCGCCGTATTTCTCCTACACGCTTTAAAAGGGAATTATGAGGGTATTCAGTTTGTTGTGGCATTAATTAAGTACGGAAGTTACATGATATATAAGTCAACATTAAATTCCGGTTTTCACTCAGGACACGAACAGCGGCCTCCTTGATAAAAGTCCTGTTCATACTAGATCACCTGTCCTGGCTTACGATTGCATGCATTGTATACGAATTGAATACATAGGTTGTACAGATTACAGTGCATTACAAACAGTGTATAAGAACAGCCTGAAGAAAACATACAATAGGGAAATAACAGATTGTTTATTATACTTGTACTGCCATGGTCGAAACAAATGTTGTGAACCACATTCATCCTCACAGCTGTGAGTACCCAAACTGTTACAGGAAAGGGAATGCTTCTTATTAGGATTCACTAAAAGTAAAGGTCAAATAAAACCCAAAATGCTGTAGGCACGCAGGCACATGGTTTCCTGGAGTCGCAGCTCAGCCACTTGGGATTATTTCTCTCTACGCCCTTAGCTGCTTCAATACAAGATGCTCTTCAATTATCCAGAGAGTGAAATGCACATTACAGCGTCACAGGCGTTTACCTTTACATGTGGACTTGGACTGACTGGCAGCCACAGCAGTCAGGTCTGCTGGTAGACCTACGTATACGCCACCATAGTTCCTGAGGGGAGAGGAGAGGAATGTAGCAATTAATAAAAGACAAATCAGTGATAAGATAATGTTGTGGTGGTTCTCAATGGAATACAGTTACTCCTTTGAGCAATGCATTAGCTTTCTAACTGTTCATGGAAGATACCACATCTGTTTAAAAGAAATCTCATTAGGCTTTGTGTTCTAAATGTTCTAAATTTAAAAAGATAATTAGGTGTGCCTGGAATCTTTGCATCTTTTCATCAAACGTTTTGATTAGGTGATCAGGAATAAGTGTTTAATGGAACACAGAGATCGTTTATCTTATTATTTACACCAGTGCTTGTCAAAATAACTTCTATTAAAAAGGCCTATTCATATTCAGGTTCTATAGTCTGCATACTACAAAAAAAAGGATAGAACTTTTCAATTACACACTACAAGTGGATTAATATGATTAGATCAAAATGCACCCATCAGCACCATACAAACTAAAATGTAGACAAAAAGTTTAAGAAGCTAATTACCTTCTTTTCTCATCGTCTGGCGAGGGTTCTTCTGTCCTGATTGAGAGAAGCACAGGTCAGGTCAGCTCTTATGGGAGCGCAGAGGACATACAAACTCAACAGCAAACAAACATACAGTGCACGCTGATGAGAAGTAAGAACTGGACAGTGGAAGTGCATTTGCTCAGTTGCAGAGCATTCGAGATATGCTGCATGAGCCCTCTGGGGAATTCTGCTAATTCCCATGTGGGAGTTCTGAACAACTGATGATCAGGCTGAATTGCAAATTTTTGTTTCAGGTCTGGAACCAGGCTACTAAACAACCAGTTTCCAATGAATTCCGTTTTTAGGGTGTTTTGTGTTTGTTTGTACTGACATGACCACCCAATTTACTGTGTGTATGTGTGTGTGTGTGTGTGTGTGTGTGTGTGTGTGTGTGTGTGTGTGTGTGTGTGTGTGTGTGATATTTTGCTGTGTTGTCCTAGGAAGCTGTGATTAGCTTCAGTGAGTCAGTAGTGTGCTACTGTCAGCTCTCATGAGTCCTGTGCTGACTGTTCAGATGGTTATCAAGGAGCACACACACACACACACACACACACACACACACACACACACACACACGTACTCACTGATTCCAGGAAATGCTTTGGAAAATGCTGCCCCTCCCAAAGCTTTGATAGACGCTAACTGTTGATGGCAAAAGACAACCTGTCCTCCACATGACACTCCAGAGAATAACGTCTGAATTTAATTTTCTAAAGCCAAGAAGGGTCAAGTATCTATTCATTTCTTTTATTTTCAGTGTTTTGTTGTTGTTTTTGACAGTAAAGTCAGTATTTTTTAATATTGGTATTTTGGTAATGAGACAACTTTGCACTTTGCAGTAAAGTTTTTACCGCATCCATCAAACTGCGGATCACTAGAAGTCGTCATTCTGCCAACACACAGTATGTAATTGTATGTCATGAAGGAAATAACTATATATTCGATATCACATATGAAGCAAAAGACAACACATTAAAAAAATCAGCAGTTTCAATCTGTAATTTTTATTGCTGCGTACAACCATCAGTGATGGTTTTGTGTGTCCACTGAAATACTGTTTTGAATTGATATTTTAGTTATATATTGTTTTGTTTTGTTCTTTCAGCTGCACTTTTACTTTACAATGCATTTATATTGAAATATTTGTAAAACATCGGCGTGATATCAGTGTGGACAAAAATATTTGAACAACGAATACAACATGGGCAGGTATATCAAGGTGTAAATTGTGATCTGAATGTCTGAAAGCCACAGATGATGAGCCTCAAAAATATTTTTAAAAGTTGGAAATTACTGATGTACTTACACATCTTTGGAGACATCTGCTGGCCCTGAAAACAGGTCAAAAGAGCAGAATTAATTCATCTTTGTTGTGAAAAGTATTGAAGGAGGTGAGTTACCACTAATAAAAGGCTTTCATTCAACAGCCTTGGGATGTATACCATAGCCACTTAAAGATAAATATAGACTACAAAATATAATACATCACTCTTCATAACACGACCTATCTAACAGCGCCCTCCGCATACACTATACCAGAACATTTCACAGAAATTAATAAGTTTAACTGCGAACACTTAAGATGAAACTAGAAACACTTCTTCATTTGCTCAGCTGGCTGCTTGCTTTGGAGAGCTCTCCATGAGACCACCTGGGACATTTCCACGGATCTGGTTCATCAGTAAATATACTGACAACTGGTTAGGTAAGTCGTACACCCTGTAGTGCCATGGATGCAAGATTTACACAGAATGTGTACATTTAAAAGCAGGAAGTGCTCAGATCTACTTTGCTTTGCTTGGGTTTTGTTCAGTTTCCTGTTTATATTTTGTTCACTCCTTTAGTTTACTCCCCTTGTGTCTTTTCTTGTTTTACTTCCTGTGTTTGTTTGTTTTCCGCCTTTGGGATTGTCTGCCCCTCCCCCATGAGTTCCACCTGTTCCTTGTCCACCCTGCTCTCACCTGTCCCTTGTCAGTTCATCTTTGGACTCTCAGTCTTTCAGCCTTTTCGCTTTATTAAAGCATGCCTGGTCTGCGTTTGGGTCCTTCCTCTGCTGCCTGCTCTACAAAACAGTGACAGAAGGAACCGACTCAACATCGACCCAGCAGACATTATATTTCAGGAGGAACTTAATGACCTGAGATGCTGCTCTGAGTGTCTCGCAGTAAGGTGGGCAAAAAGCCATGGCTGAGGAGCTCATTTGCCCGAGTGGCAGGACTTTTTAGACACCACAGATTCCCAGCCTGCTAGTCTTCAGCCTGCTAGTTCCCAGCTGAACCTATAGTCTGTCCTCGTCACCTTCCTGTTTGTTCCTGTTGTTTGTGCTGACCTGTCCATTTCAGAGTTTGTTCCTGTGTTGGGGGTCCCAGCCTATATCTCGCCAGTTCCTGTGTCGAGGGTCGGACCGACACCTGCTCCCGCTGGGCCAAAGCTACTTCCTGACTCCGGTTGCATATGTTATTATTTATATTCCTTTACTATTTGATCTTTACTTTAATAGGCAGTAGTTCATGCAATAAACATATTCCACATACCACTGCATTGAAACATATAGCCTATGGGTTTGCAGTGTCCATTATCAGATAGGCCTTCAGAAATACAAACTTCAACATCCAAAAAGACAATACAAAGAAACAGCACAAAGCACAATGATACATCTGAAGGTTAACAGCAGACATATATGATATTAGATATACAGTGTAAAATGCCTTCCCAGTGACACGCATTGTGCTCATCCCAATCATGTTTAACTCCTTTATGGTTAAACAACAGATCATTCTTTGCTGAACCACAGGCAGTCCACTTAACTTGATATGAATCTAAATGAGTCATTGATCACCGCGGGGGGAACAAAAGCCTTAATGCTTAACGTTTTTTTCATGCCATTTTCCATTGTATTACTGTAGAAATGTACCTTCAAAAAGAACACTACACGAATAAGATCTAAGAGCTGAAAACTGGAGAATCTAAATTACACACAAACAGCGAATTTCATCCTTGTAAAAATGAGTCTGCTGACATGACACAGGGGCCTATTCAGTAGCCTGACAAAAGCTCATTCATATCCAAGGGTGCACATCTGGGTGCAGAAGACTAGGGATGAGCACTGAGGCAGTAATTTGAGTTTGATTAGCTTGAAATTAAAGATATTCTTGCATGACTTGAATATCGCATGGAAGTTAAGTTAACTAATTAATGAATGCATTTGACTTTAATAAAGATTTATTAAATTGTTAATAATGCACTGTATTTGGACAAATGGTTTTAATGTAAAGAATTAGTCAACAATGATATTTTCTCCCATGAAGGTACATCATAACTGCAATGACTGTATTATCACCAATTATCTGTTTATACATCAGCCTGCACTTTTGGGTGCATGTTACAAGCCAGTGTTAACTGTTTATATGCTGCTTATAAATGCTAACTACAAATGTGTAGTGACATAGTTATACATAAAAGCAGAAGGTGCTGCTATCTATACTTGACAGAAAAGAATAGTGTGTGAACACTTTACCGTACCCCCCCCCCCCCCTGTTTACCTTTTATAAGCAATATACAAACTGAAAATTGAATTAATGGGTTATACTACCTTATAATGTAGATGTACATGGATATAAGGATATTTTTAAGTGTTGCGTAATGTGCAGTATTTCTCAACAATTATAACTTATAAAGTATAAATTATACTTTTACTGTGAAGACATACAGTATTTAATATAAAATCTTTCTGTGTTGTCATCCACAGGAGTTATAGTTGCTTACACCTACATTATAGTGTGTTGTAAGTAATTATTAAATGTTTATGTACCAGTTATAGATGATAAGACAGTGAGGTATGTGCAGTGACACAATTATACATCCTGGGATCAAATGATGTACAATTGGAGCGGTATGGTTGTTCCATCGTAATTCTACAGAGCATAATAGCGTGAGGAAACAGTGTCCTTTGCCTCTGGCCTGGTGTCAGCTGGCGTGGACAAATGAGTGCAACCATTAATCCACATGTCATAAGGCCTTGACATCGTGCTGAACAGTGACCTATAAGAAGGGACAGAAAAATGGACCTGCTGCACCCAAATGAACGCAGTTGCTGTTTTTTTTTAATAGACAAGCAAGCCGACACTCACAACAAACTCAGACACCTAGATGCTGTTCGCAGATATATAGTAGATCAAGTTCTGAGCAAAAGAAAACACCGGGTTACATTTCCCAGGAGCTCTCTGTGGCTCTGTTAACATGCCTGGCAAGCACTGATTAGGTACCTGCAAGCACAAACACATTTGCAAAAGGACAAACACACACTGTACTGATTTAATGGGCAGCGGTGGTGAGGTAATCCTGCAGATACTTCAATCTAATTACTACCTCAATTTGACTTTGACTGTTTGACTTTGTTTGGTATAATTCAAAACAGGTATTGAATCAGGACAAATCAACTGAGAGAGATGTGTGTTATATGAGGACAAGCCACAGTGAAGCAGGATGTCTGTTCTCCTCTGCTCAAATGTGTCCTCCTGGCTTTATGAATGAAACATACCCATTGATCAGAGGTGGGTGTTTGTCACTAAAGAACGGCTGTTTTACACACTCAAAAATCCAATGAAACCAGCACAGACACTCCGAGAGAAAGACAAACACATAAAAACAAAACTGTGAACCACGAAGGACTCGCTTTTCTGTCAATGTATAATTTGACTTTGTAATTACAATATCAATGTCATTACTGCTATCAAAGCGGTACATTCCTAAGGCTACTACTCTGGTGTCTTAGATTAGAATATGGGCGGCCCTTCATGATCGACCCACCACCCTTAGCTTTAGGAGACCACTGCACGCACACTGTGGGGTAAGAATGTATCATTTTTGAGGCACAAACATACATGATGATGCACGACTGAGCTGTCTATCGATGAATGAAATCAAGACACACAGGTAACACACACACACACACACACACACACACACATGGACATCTCAGGACGTACACTACATGTAGGGTAACCCCGACACGCTTCATTTACATTCAAAACACCCTCCCCCTTGTTGCAGATCCAGTGGTAACTCTCCCCCTCATACTCTCACCCATTATCACACACACACATATAGATGCACACACACACACACACACACACACATGGACACATCTCAGGACATACACTACATGCAAAGGTAACCCCGACACACTTCATTTACATTCAAAACACCCTCCCCTCTTGTTGCAGATCCAGTGGTAACTCTCCCCCTCATACTCACCCATTATCACACACACACACACACACACACACACATATTCCTTAAAAACACTCACTCACCTCCTGAGGTGTTGGTGGCTGAGGAATTGCCACAACCCATTTTTCATCGATACGGCCACCGTCCAAGCAGAACGGAGACGCTGAAGAAGATGAAGGAGGAAGAGGAGGAGGAGGAGGAAAGAAGGGAGACTCGAAACACGTTGGGAGAGAACTGGGGAAAGAAATGTCTTTCACTGTGACACAGGGATCTCCTTTGGTCGTTTACCCCCCTCCCCTCTGTCCAGCCTTGCGTCTATCCTCTCAGCAAAGCAGTGGAGAGCTGAGAGTGAAGTGAAAGCATGGAGAGAGGGGCTTTTATATACACACACACACACACACACACACACACACGATGAGAGAGAGTGGAGAGAGAGGGGAGAGAAAGATGCTATGCCCTCACATGATTTGCTCTTTTCCTCCACCCTGAAATGGTTGCCCGGGAAACCGGGGGAATGTGGGCGGAGGATGGGGATGAGAATCAACCAATAGGGAGCTTTCTTTCTTTGTATAAAGGAGGGGGGGGGGGGGGGGGGAAAAAATTGAAGGGGGATCAATGTGTCAACCTGTGTGTGATAACTTGTAAAATCCTCAAATCGTCTTTGTGTGCCGAACAGACGACCTTTATTCATGCTACACACACACACACACACACACACATATACACACACACACACACACACACTCTTGTTTGAGCTCTTGACAATCACTGAGAGTGAAGTTAAAACAATCCCAGAACAGTCTTGTAATCAACCCACGAGCGTCACGCTGAAGTCAGCTTGCAGACCCCTAATAAATCCTAATTCAACCTCAGTCATGCCATTGTGTGCCGAGACTACAGTGCAGTCATAAGAGGGGAGTTGAAACGACAGGAAGAATTGCATTAGCAGTTTCCACCAGTGTAAATACGCTTCACATGCAGTCACTGGTGTTATCTTATGATGTCAAGATGTCTGTGTGGTTGAGAGGCAAGATACTTTAAATCCTTTTTTTTTTTTGAGAACTTTTCAGGGACACACGCTGCGGCTCTGACAAAGCCTCCAAACAAACTGGATCTCTCCTCCGCATTTTGTTTTGCTAGACACAGACAAGGTGATCATGTCACAAGCTTTTGAACTGTAAATATTCGTCTCTACTTTCTCCTGAAGGTGTGTTTCCTTGTTCTTGTTGTCTTTTTATAGGCCAGACTTAGCCGAGCCAGCAAACAAAAGTCAGTCCTGAATTGCCTTATCTAATTTAGAGCCATAACTTATTCAATTAAACAACACAAGTCCACTGGGGAGGAAAGAATGTGCTCCTGCTCAGGCTGCCTGATGAGCACACACTGCTTGTCATGGCTTGCCTGCATTATCAAGACACAACACAACACGACATGGCCATCTTATCGATCAATTAGGCTATTGTTGAGGCCTGAAATGTCTTGGATAAATAATAATAACTGAGACAATTTCAATGTTACAAACTAGTGTTTCATCTGCTTTTAAAGATTTCTTTAAGTGACATTATCCTCAGATAATTGAGTTACCTCTCTAACGTCAACGTATTACTGCGGTTCTCAAAATAGACCAGATTGCCTTGGAAACAGTTGAAGTCATCATAGGACAGTTCATTTTACAATTGTTTTAAGCGAATGTTTTTAAAACTCCATATTAGATTAAAGGTTACGTAAGGATGGAGATTTTGTTTGTCAGCAGTCCCCTAAAACATTTGATATAAATCTTTAATGTTTTTGTCTAGAAAGGCTGCAAAACACAATATTATGATCATAATTATACGTTCAAGTTAATTTTTTCAATATAATATTTTGTTAAGAAAAATGTGGATTGATCAAAACTTTTATTGAATGCCTCCATAATGAGTTCCACGCTTGAAAGACTGTGTCATTCTCAAATGATGAAATCTCATTCCGCAAATATAATCGATTTTATGAGCTCCATTTTCAGACACATCTCCCTTAATATAATTCCCAATTGATGCTACGTTATGCTTGTACTCCACTACATTTCAGAGGGAGTAATCAGTCATATGTAACCAAGTTAGGTAATTTAATTACAAAATGAATGCAATTGTTATCAGTTACAGCTACATTTGTATTTGAATTTGAATTGAATGTTGGTAATTACAAAAGGGGTTACATCTGAATATATTCAGTTTGGTAAAAAGCTTAGATATAACATTCCTTCTGTGTGTTGAGTCAGACAGTGTTGAGAACTGTTATAACGTTTACACAGCCTGGTTTATGTTTATCGGAATTTTCAGCTTTATTGCCCACATTAAAACATTTCTTAGAGAAGCAAACAATAAGCAATCAAATGTATTGTGTTACATTACTTTGATGAAGTAATTAAAATAGTCAAATCAATTCATTCGTATCAAAACTATAATAGTATTATACCTAACATACGAAGATTTCACCTCCATTTTCAGTACATGTTAGCCTACTGCTAATATTTCTGTACTTTTAGATTTCAGTAAAGGATCTGACCAGAAATAATGTAGTATCGTGTGACCTTGTTACAGTATTGTATTGTTCTGAACTTCTGGTGTGATGTTGTGCAATCAGTCAAAGTATTTTTCAAGGGACGAATATCGTTTTTTCAAATTAAACTTTGGAATTCTTCATATGTCCACCAGGGGGCACTGTTGATACTGAAATGGTAAAAACGTTACACGTAGCCTACATCTGCTATAACAGTCAACCGCTAACTGCCCATCGAAAGTTCAAAAAAATCAAATCACATCTTCAGAAAATAATCGAATTAAAAATAAAACTATACAAATGTTTAATTTGGGGTTAAAGTGAAGCTGTTTTTTTTAACTATTCACTCTGCTCTCAGCGGCTGCGGATGAGATCAGACTGGGCCCGCCTCCAACTCCTACGTGGTCCTCTCACCCGCGCAGAGGCCTCTGGGAAACCGAGTCCACGCTTTAAATAATTCAAGCTCCCGTTTCTTCTCTTCCAACAGCTAACAAGATGCCGGCCGTACATCACAAACTGCTCCTGGAGGAAGCTCTGCAGGACAGTCCTCAGGTAGGCCTGTGCCTCCCCGCTATAACTACAGTGCGGTTAATACTGCTAATCACAATTATCGGCGTTCGTGTCTCTGTGTTTTGTTTACAAAGCTACCGCCCGTCACAGGGCGACTCTCCGATGTGCTGGTCTACATTTAGTCTCGCATCACCGTGGGATCCGTCACGAGCATAGCTCAACCAGATATCCTGCAATGTTTTAATTCTCTAATATCGTATGAAGGTAGATTTCTGGGGGCTAGACCCTGTCCTGGGAGCAGAACTGGGCCTTACTCACAGAATGTGGGAGGGGTTTCCATTATCGGACTCCACTAGAATTAGCTTGCAGCAGTGGTAGCTGTCAGCAGTGAATACCAGATGATGTTTGATGCTTAAAGGTCTTATAGTGCAGTTAAGTTATTAAAGTTGCACTAGGCCTCGTGCATGGTTATCAGCGAGGGTGACGTGTAATGCAGGACAGTAGTTGCTATACCGCTCCTCTAATGTAGGCTGCATTTAGATGTGGCCCATATTCTCTGCTTTTAGTTGCATCACTCCTTTCCTAGACTCTTTGATGGTTCTGCTTAAGTGCAACCCAAAACTAGAGGGTTATTTCTGTCTTTATGGGGGTTTTTGCTACAAAATGCTGTTTCCTCCTTCCATGAAATAGGGCTGGAGTAAAATGTGAACACGGCAAAGGTTGGCAGATCGTTTCTCTTTGGTGTGAAATGTCTCTCAGCCAGCTGGAGTGAACTTTAAACACACTCCGGCTGATGGGTGTGTTCCTCTCTGTATCTGCCCTGCCCTGCTGCACCTGTTTGTAGAAGAAGAAGAAACTACACCCAGACAGGATTTTCTCAGTTTGCATAGTCAGCCTGCAGTAAAATCATTCTGCCTTTTTAGTTTCACTCCCGAGCTGCACTTCCATATATATGCCTCTGCATACTGCAGACTCATTTCTTTCACTCGTTGTCTTATGACATCGTTCCTCTTGTTCTTATTCATCTCTTTTATGAGTTACAGGTTCCCTCCTTTGCTTTGTTTTTTAACCTAGGCACTATATACTTCTGGTGTCTATCACAAAAAGGATCATTTGACACGATTACAATATGCCGAGCTCCACCCGATCTACCCTGATGAACACAAACACAAACATTTGATGTGATTTGTTAAAACACGCTTAAACTTGTTTGCATAATGAGCTGTTGCCCCAAGACTAATACACACCTCAGTACGATTTACAGTTGGTGACGCAACTTACAGTTATTTACATTTTTGATAAATTTGCTGATTATTCTTCCTGATAATTCAGTTAATAGATTAATAGTTTTTTTTCTATAAAATGTCAGAATGTTGTGAAAAATCCAGGTTGTAATTTGTCAAACTCAGACTGCTGACGCCTTATATAATCTTCACTCAAACTTTAGATCATCTGCACACAGAATGAGGCCCTTTGATTTAGTCTGCGGTTACTTGCGTTGGAATCGTTAACAGTAAACGGTAGCAATGACTCCAGCAAGTACAACCTGTTGCCATGTTTATGTGGACACCTCACTGCTGTCAGCCACTAAGACAGACTTAGGAAAAGTGTGAACCTACTCTTTTATAAGGTAATTCATCTATTGTATGTGTGAATGTCTTCTTCCACAGACTCGCTCCCTGCTCAGCGTGTTTGAGGAGGATTCTGGGACGCTTACAGACTACACCAACCAGCTGCTACAATCCATGCAGCGTGTGTTTGGAGCCCAGGTACTGAACAAAACACAGACTCTGTTCCCTTTGCTGTGTGTGGCTAGGATTGAATAGCAACTACCCAATAGCAAATGTCTTAAAATTTGTCACAAATGTCCACATATGAGTGCATATGTGGACATATGTGGTTGAACTGATTTAGAATTTGGTGGTCTGAGATCACTGTGATCTCACAAAACACATATATGCTAATTATGCCAATTCCTCATAAATGTACGTGATGAGATTTTGGCCACGTAAACCTCAACATGACCAGTTGGCGGAGGCATACAACCGCTAGGCAGTAATTCTAGTTTTACATCTGAACAAGAGTCAAAATTGTATCTGGCTGAAGATGATTTGGGGTTAAACGTTAGTAGAGGATTGATTTGGTTTGCACTTAAGAGAAGACGGTCCTTCTGAACAGACGAATGCCAAACTAGGATATTCTATTTTTTTTAACCTCACAAATGGAAACTGAAGAGTAATTGACATACTGAAGGTTATTGAAGAAAGAGCAGAGAACCTTTTAGTTTTGCAGCTGGAATGGAGGTGCCGTACACTGTGCCTCTGTACATTTGACTCGGTAAGATTTTCGGTAAGTGGTGTGAAACTCCTCTTGTGCTGTCAGGGTGTAGATAGTTTTGACTTTGCTGTTCTTTGTTCTCTGGAGAATGCCAGATTGAGCGACACGCTTAAATGTCTCAGTCCCAATACATGCTTCATTTTCCCTCCTGAGCGCGTACACAGCCTGTGTAACATGACGTCAGACCTTTTCTCAACCAATAATCGTTCACCAGTAGAGTTGGCATTCATGTGACCCATCACCTTGTGCTTTTCCAAGGAATTTCATCTGAACCCTCATTCACCTGCCATCCATTTATTTTCCTTTTTATTCCTTCGAGACTGAAAAGAGAGAGTGAGAGGAAAACGTAGAAGCTACGGACAAATCCGGAGTAATCCTTTGTGTTCACTTTGCTTCCTGCCTCTATCTGCCCCCTACAGAGTGAGATGGGATTGGCCACGGAGCAGCTCTCACACCAACTTCTGGATTATGAGAAGAAAGTAAGTATGGGTGCCCATGGTTTTGGGACATGTCCCTGTCTTGTGTCAGCTTGATTTTACTTCTGCGGTCTCTCTGAACATTGTCCTCCTAACGGCCAGCCTCTGCAGTCCAGATAACAGAAGAGAGTAGCCGACGAAATTCAATTATCAGCATTCTCTCAAAGCAATGAAGTGCTTTTCAGCCTTTGTTTTGGCTACTTTGTATTGTCCTACTCACAGCTAGTGTGGTTGAATTGTCCAAGTGACTCTGCTAATGGGCTCCTATACTTGTATGTATGATTGCAATAAAAAAACACAACAGAAAGAGATGCATCGTTTTATCATTTTTCATTTCTTTCCATGATGTGTGTGAGTTTGCATGTGTCTGCCAGACGTCGTAGTTGCATGCGTGTCTTAATGAAATCTGAAGCAGAAGTGCCTCTCTGTGCGATCTATCATGGGGTCTGCTTTCATGCAGCCAACGAGAGCTACGAAATAGAAAAGTTGCTGAAGTCAACAGAGCAGGTCTATTAAATCATGCTAAAAAAAAAAGAGATGCGTTGGCTTTCTGGATTGGGTGGGTAAAAAAATGCAATGACCAGTAATAGATGCACTTTTAGCTCCTTTTTAAACAATACTTAAAACTCAGCATCTTAGCATGGAGGTTATTAGAATCTTTGGCCTTATTCCATGAAAGGAACGTGCTGTAAATCCTGGCTTAGCAGGCTACTTATTTCTTTACTTCTTGGCACCTAGTGTAGGCTCGATCTATGCAACAATATGCGGTTTCATCAGGGTGTAAACTTGTTCCCCCTCCCTTCTTCTTCTTCTTCTTCTTCTTCTTCTTCTATCTAGAATTTTGCTCTTGGAAAAGGGGATGAAGAAGTAATCGTCACGCTGCAGAACTTTGCCAAAACTGTAGTAGAGGTGAGCTGCATTCTTGTTGTTTTCTATGTGTATATTTATCTGTGAGAGGGATGATAAACCACTGCATGGTCACTGCCTGTCACTGTCAGACATGGGGGTCCACAAGCCTGTCCAGTCAGCACTCAACAGGATTTAGGACACACCAATCCACGCACAAACACACACACACACGTGCTCAGAGGACACAGGTTGATTGTTTGACCTTTACCTCGTGATTTACAGCCGAGAACTCCTTTCGCAATGAGAATTAGGCCGAATGCTGCACCTGAGTCGGTGAACTTTAGCACTTGCTCAATCGTTCCGATAAACCTGGATGTCATCTTGTTCGATGCTGGACCGTAGCTCGTTCATAAGAAGGGAGATTTCCTGGTGTGTGCGACGTGTGGTTCTGTTTCCAATATCACAGTTAACAAAAGGTTTTTATTATTCTCTTCAAGAAATGTTTCACAATATGGGCTTTTTATGGTGTGGCAGAGTTATTGTCTGCAGTTCTGCACCCATTTCTTTCCAGCTCGCTGCAGGAATAATAACTGGCAGCATGTGTTCTTGTAAATATTGAAATAAATTGAAATCCCTCAAGATGTTTGGCACGGGTACATCATTTGTTTGTTTCCTTGTGCAGTGCACGACATTTTTGTATAATCTTCTTTTTTTTTTTTTTTGGTCGTTCAGCTGAACTCGCTCCACTCTGTGCTAGCCAACCAGATGGCCGACAGCATGGTTTTCCCCTTGATCCAGTTCAGAGAGAAAGACCTTACAGGTAGAGACACACACACAAATATAAAAAACTTATCGTAAAACATTTTTATTTTTCCAAGTGTATTGGGGTATTTTAGGCCTTTAAGACCAAGTTAACAGTCGAATAATGACGGATAATGAGGAGAGAAGAGCGCCTTAACCCTATAGGCCACTAGACCTCATTCTGACACATTGTTGTGACGTTATTACAGATATTTAATCTGTTCTCTGTAACAGTTTGATGCAACAGGCGAAGCCCTACCTTCTGGCAAAAGACAATGTGAGTGCGGTTTTAGTGATGCTTAATAAGTTAGAAATGTATATAATTCTGGATAAATGTATATTCTGCAATTTAAGGTCAGCGGCTGCATTTGATAGTTTTAAAATGGTGGTTTTTTTTTTAAATGCACTATAGAGACGCAGCGCCCATAAGGTCCGCCCACACCGGAGGAGACAACAATTCATCGCTCTCCATTGACTTTCACTGCGTTCCAAATCACATGCTTTATCTTTTTACTGATAGTTCATACTGCATTTACAAAGTGCGTACTGTTGCGTGCCATATGCTTTCAATTGGGACATACTACTTCGTCACAACATTACACCTTGAACTTTGACCCTCTTGCTCATAAATAGTATGAGAGTATATGTATTGGAAATCATTATTTGTATTGTGTGAAGGGGCCTCAATTCTGTCTGCTTACAAATGACATAAAAGGTCCCTGGATGCTTCTGTGTGGTGGAATACACTACCAACAGGGTCAATAACACAGAACTACGTTTTTATTAGCTGCCAAACCAGGAAATGGAGGATACAGGCAATAAAACGTGAGGCAACAGAAGGAAGAATGGGAAAACTGGGAGATCTTGACGCTCAATATATATATATACATCTATATATATATTTATATATCTATGTGTGCAGCAAGCTTTTTGTCCGAAAGTCAGTTTCGGGCTAACTACATTTCAGTAAGTTAAGCGAAAGCATCTTGACAGTAAATGATGTGTGATTTTAGTTATCAGCTGCTACTCCTGAACAAATGGGGCTGAAATGATCCTTTGACATGCTAAAATAAATTGCCCAAAGCCGCTGTCACAGCAATGTGATCGGCTATTTGTCAGATTCTGTTCGTCCTCATTTGCTCGCGGTTCGCAGAAGTCCGTATTTCTTTTAAAGAAGATAAGAATTATGCTCACAATGATCGATGTGTATTCTCGCCTATAACACAAATTTGAAAGCTTGTCATTTGAAGAAAGCGTGAGGTTAAACACCAGCCGCGGGATATTGTTCTAAACTAATCCTGCTAGATATAATAATAATAATAATAATAATAATAATAATAGCATTCAACGAATCGTTCTCCACGAAAGTAATGGAGAACTGGTAACTGCTGCTGTTAGAGAGGACTGTGTGTGTTATTCTGAGAGGATGGTGTGTGGTTAAGAACAGGATGTCACGATGTCAAGCATCTTTCTCAGAGGATCACCAAACAGGAAAGCAGCAGAACAATGCGGTGAAATTGTGCTTTCTAGGCAGAGCAAACGTAACTACCCAAATTGACAGCACATACAGACTGTGTGAGCATGTGAAATAGCAAAATAATGTAATTTTCTAAAGGATTCAGTTTGAACCGACAGCTTAAGTTGATCTACTTTAAGCATCGGTGCATTTCTTTCACATTGTGGATCTATTTTAGATATTGTAACACAACTTCATATACTTTTGAATGTTTCAGAGATAAGCACACTGAAGGAAATATTTGGCATCGCCACTGATGGTAAGTAGATATCCTAAGTGATTTTTAGAAAACCATTATTTTGCAGTTGCTATCTGATCCTCATGTTCTTTCTCCACTCTCCTGCAGAGCACGAGGCAGCGATGGTCAAATACAGCCGACTGCCCAAGAAGAGGGAGAATGAGAAGGTAGAGTGAGCGCGAGACACTTTCAACCCAAAAGCTGTAAAAAAAGACTTAGAGATGAAGTAATGCAGTGTGTGTGTATATATATATATATATATATATATATATATGTATATATACATACACACACACACACACACACAGTATAGTTGCATGTTTAACCCTCTCCCGTCTGGACAGCTGAAGTCCGACTTGGTGAAGGAGGTGGCGTACACTAGAAGGAAGCAGCACCAGGCCTCACTGCAGTATTACTGCGCCCTCAACGCCCTGCAGTATCGCAAGAGAGTAGCTATGCTCGAACCCATGCTGGGCTACACACAGGCACAGGTACTTACAAACTAGGTCATATCAGTATTCAAATTCGGTAGTCAAAAATGAGAAGCAATTTCCTCATTGGAACTGAGTTAGTTTGCAAATGGCAGTTGAAAATGTCCATGAATTTCAAACTACTGAGAAAAAAACATTGTATAAAGTCTGTAAGCACGACGAGCTGCAACGAGGAGTCGATTAATAGATTAGTCCATCGACAGAAAATCTATCTGCAACAATTATTTGAAACAATTTTGTGTAAATGCCAAACACTCTCTGTTAGCTTCTCAAATGTCAGGATTTGATGCTTTCCTTTTAAATATATGATGGCAAACTAAATATCTTTGTGTATTTAGTATTTTTCACTATTTTCTTCCATTTTACAGACGATTAATCAAGTAAATAAACGGCAGATTAATCAATAATGAAAATTATCATTAGTATGCAGCCGTACATGTGATCAAGTGATTATCTGTTTCTAGAAATTTCTATCAATTATAATCACACAAAATGTAAAAATAATCAAAATACAAGCTGAACTGCTCATTGTTACCTTTTACTTCTCAGATCAGCTTCTTCAAGAAAGGCATTGAGCTGGTGTCAAAGAAGATGGACAACTTCCTCTCCTCCGTGTCCAACATGACTCAAAAGTAAACACTCATCTCATTAACATTCGTATTTATGTGTGCAGCAAATGTGAAGAACCATAGCTGTGGTATTAACAATATAACATAATGTGGTTTGCTGTGTATGGTCCTAAACACAAATACTTATATTGTGATGTTCTGCAAAAACAAATTCCATATTTTTGGTTAGCATCTTAATGCTGTCAATAGTTTAAATGGATTTGTCTGTATTTAAACTTTATTTCCCGTCTAGTATCCAGGCCCAGCTTGACACAGAGGCAGAGACCATGCGTGGGTCCCAGAGGGACTTTCTGTCTGTGGAGGACACCGTCTATATGCCGGATAAGGACACTGAGCCTGTCAATCGCACACTCATCCAGAAGGCCGGCTACCTCAACATTAGGAAGTAAGATTAATTGCACTCATTATGACTTCATCGTAAGTCGAAGGACGCTTCCTGTCCACGTAGCTTTCCCCCGCTAGTCTAAATGTTAAGGGATGTCTTGGGGGGGGGGGGGATATACAGCTGAGGATTATTTGACTCTGTCCTCATTTTATATATGTGACAATTAAATATTTTCTTAAGTAATTAAGTAGTATGTGGTAAGTCTTAAATCTCTAAATAACCAAACGCAACAGAGAAAAGATTTTTGCTTCTCTTGCAAGAGTTGCTCAAAATACGCATGACCAGAGTAAACAATAAGTCTGTCACAGCAGACGAGGTGCGTCAGGTAAGACGTTGACAGTGTGCGCTGTCAGCTTATAGCAGAGCGGATGTATGAGAAGGGAAACTTCCTTAATGGCTTCAGGGGGTAGAACTGCAGCGTAGCCCGCAATGTGATTTAGTGAAATGTCAGCGCTGTCAAACTCTGTCTCTCGCTCATATATATCCAAAGTCTCTGACAAATGTCTGTGACACCAGAGAAAAGGTTTCCACAGAATGCCATTCTGTTTAATGACACACACACACACACCGCCAGCAGCATCAAACGCTTGTCAACCGCTGAGTCCAGAGAACATTTGCTATTTCGACTGGTTTCTCAATATTAAGGCTCTCAGTCACCCGCGGCAGCATGAGACATTCAAAGGAAATTAATCAAAGGAAATTTATCCAAAAATATTTTTCAAACTGAATGTAGAAGCGGGAGGTTTTCAGGTGAGCAATTTAAATGAGTCATACACGTGTCACTTTGTTTTGAAACTGAGCGAGTCAAAGGTAAATTATACTGTAGTTTATTTTCTATATGCAAAGTCCTGAAAAAAGAAAATATGTAGCTGTTTCTAAGCCTTTTCAATGTAACACCACTCTGTTGACAATTGGATTAAATAGAAGTCAGTGGGGCCACAATAACAGAGGAAACTGTTTTGATTAAAAAGGACTTAAGCTAATGACAGCAGCAGAGTGTTTCAGTGAACGGATAAAAACGACCAGTTCTTCTTGATACGTTATACCTCCGCAGAGTCATTTAACGAGGACTGATGGATGATATGATGCAATCTGGCCGTTGTTAATGTATGCTTGTTTGTTTTAGTTATAAGCACGGTGACATACACTCCTGCCAAGTCCTGCCACCCGCGGTCAAAAACACACCGTTAGCAGATGTAAAAATCTTCAAAAAGGCACATTAGTCGCTGGCACTGACATAACCACAGGGGGTGACAAAGTAGAGCATGGATTAAATTAGTGGCGGTATTTTACCGGCAGAAACATTATAAGTTAGTATGGCAAAAAGGTACAAAATGTGGCATCTGCTCGTGCTCGCCAGCCTCTGGGGAGTAAAGGAGAGATCAGCCAGCATCCATGTAAAGATATGCTAGACTCAGTCTACAGAGTACTAAAGCCCCATCCACTCCGCTGCACAGAGCACTGGCCACTTCTTTATTCAAAGTTTATGATGAGAAAGTTCATAGCTGTCCCCCAAACCGAATCTCCGTCACATCCAGCCTTAAATCCTTGACATTCTTCCTCTCTATGTAGCCCTCTTCACCCATTCATCTTTTTATTCACTTGTTCTGCCCCTTCTCCAGTAAAACGGGGCTAGTGACCACAGCCTGGGACCGACTGTACTTCTTCACCCAGGGAGGGAACCTCATGTGTCAGCCGCGTGGGGCGGTAGCGGGGGGCATGGTGCTGGACCTGGACAACAGCTCCGTCATGGCTGTGGAGTGTGAAGACAGACGCTACTGTTTTCAGATAACTTCCCCCTCAGGCAAAACGTATGTACACTTTCCTACATATCCAACAATGAGAATAATGCACACACACGTATATGAAATACTGGATGCATTTTATTTAATTCTCTCCATTGCCATCAATGCCTCCAGGTCAATGATTCTACAAGCCGAGAGCAAAAGGGAATATGAGGAAGTAAGTGTGAAAGAGGCCGTTCAAACGACTATGTTTGAGCTTCCTTATTGTTTCTACATCTTCATCCCAAATACATCTGCTGGTCCAAACATTTCATACAGCAATGGAGGAGCTGACTTATTGGTGTGGTTTTCATGTTAGCTTTAGTGCTACGCACATCTGACTGGCCCGTCACAGTCTCATGATTTCAGGTGGCTCGTGTCTGAGCTGGACGAAGTCCTAATGTGGATCTCTGTGTTTCTTTCTCAGTGGATTTGTACTGTGAACAACATCTCCAGACAGATCTACCTGACTGACAACCCAGAGGTAACGCGCACACACACACACACACACACTGCAAATAAAGTAAAAAAATAGCAACTGAATCAGACATAGGAACAATTGATCTTTAGTCTTGGTAGGTACATCTATTTGTTGTTTCACCACTTAAGATTAGATAGATTTATATCAATTAATAAAACAACAATAACCATTAAAATGAACAGTAAACGTATACAGCTAATTCTAAACAACATTAATATTAACATTTGGTGATGTTTTAAATATTTTTTGCATATTTACACACAGTGCTATACTGCTCTGGTTTTATGAATGATTCACCTGCTTTGTTGTTAGGCTGTGGCCATCCGACTGAACCAGACTGCGATCCAGGCAGTCACCCCCATCACCAGCTTTGAGAAGAGACCAGAGGGCTCGCCCAACCCTGACAGGTCAGGCATGCTGCTCGCCATTCATACTGCATCCTCTCCTGACGTTAATAATTAAATCATTTTACAGGGGCAAGTCTTATCAATTTTTAAAACCGAGGACTAAGCTGCACCGCCATTTTTGATTTGTATGTTCCATGCTTTTTGCATCGTCAGTATTGTGAAATGCTGATTTTTCTGTGTGTGTGCGCGCAACACTGTAAACATCTAAAACATCTTCCTCTATATCTATTTGTTCTTGGTGTACAAAGTGATACTCAATTTACATTGATAACAGTTTGCTTCAGGACGAGCTATGATTACTGAAGATGATCATCGCTGAACTGAAAACACACAAACATTTTGTGTCTTTTCCGCTAAATCTAACCGTTTGCAATAAGTGGTCACTTGGCTGTTCACTAAAAGGCTTCTTTGAACAGGGATTGCCCAATTATATCTTAGCAACGGTACATAACCATTACAGGCAGGAGTGTTGAGCTCTGAATTACTCGGCATGTTGAAGCGCTGTGCATGTGGCTCTGATTAGAGCAAATCTTCTTACAAACACCGTTTGGATGGTGGTTTGTTCTTTCATTCGATCTAAAAGCACTAGAGAGAAATGTGTGAGGAATAGCCTAGTTTAAACTTTATGTTTGTCCACTTTCATGTAATGCCTGGTGCACACGTTAGCACGTCCGGCTAACTAGCTTATTACCTAGCATACATGGTTAACTCAACGTTGCTTTAAAGCCCCAACATTTCATACCATGTTGTGAGGTTACAGATTACGACAAAAACTTTAAAAATAGCAGCAGATTTTCAACCAACTGACGGAGCAATGGTTAGCTCAATTAGCTGGCCAGGTACAGCTGATAGATGTGCTAGCGACACATGTCATTTAATTAAGATGGCAAATCAACAAGTCACTGACTGGACATGAGAAGTGTACCTCAGTCTAAAATCAAGGGCTAATTGTTTCAAGAAATAATCCCAAGTTTGGCATGTTGCATCTGCCACTGAACTGAACAGTTGAAACATAGGTTTTGAGGTAAGTTCTAACTTAAAACACTACCTACCTGTCCATAATGTATGTACACTCAAAACACAAGTGGCCGCTGTAATTGTTCCTCTTGTCCATACTGGCTGTGAAGGGAATCCTTCCTAATGCAATTGAAATGTAAGTAACAAGGTTACAAGGTACTTTAAGTATCGATGTACAACATGGTTACGCAACCAAATGCAGTACGGCAGCTGATACTTCTGTTACTACGTCAGCAGGGTGAACAGGCTGAAGTGGGTATTGTCTTTTAATATCCTTTGAGCTCTACGCAGGCACATCTTCTCACCAATATCACTGATGCTCGGTCGATGGGTACCAATGATATTCTTGATTTTAATCACATGCTGTAGAGTGATGTGAGTGATGGGGGTGATGGGGGTCCACCTTCCATGCATATATTCACTCTGAAGATTGTATTACACAAGACAAGATTTTATCCCCCATCACTTACAGTGTAGTTGTGTTGGGATCTCACAGCCAGTGGAGAGGATTAACAATTTACTTTTTGTGAGCATTGTATTGAGAGACTTTAAAACATGTGGACCTTACCTTTGAGTTGAGTATTGGGTGTTTTGATGTTTACTTACATTCGGTCTGTCTCACTCCTAAAGAGCGAAGCCAGGAGGTGTCTATGCTGCCAGTAGTGGTTCCCAGAAGACGGGGGCTGCTCCGGAACCAGAAGACCTAATAGCCCCTGGGACACCTATTCAGTTTGACATCATGCTGCCGGCCTCTGAGTTTCAGGACCAGAACAGGGCCGGGGGGAGGTGAGGGAATAACTGGGAAGTGTGTGTGGGTGCATGTTTGTGAGAGACCGGAACGACTAGTGCTGGTGGGTGATGATGTTGATTTCCTGAAAGTTGGCCTCATAGTGGTTATTCTATTATTTCCAGGAAGCCGAATGCTTCTTAATGGCTCAATGCAGCAGTTTAATTGTTTTTTTTTGCTGGTGTGTGTGTGCTCCCTTCCTGGCAGACGCACAAATCCGTTTGGAGAAACAGACGATGACTGTTCAACAGAAACTGACGGTAACCATTTTCCTCCTTCCCTCTAAATGCAACTTAACGGTTGACTTTCTCTCTGTGCAGCACTGTTTGTGTTCTGCTTAAACGCATTGATTGTGCAGGCGTTTACTTTCCTACACGAGTGCTGTCGAGTTAAGTGTTCCTGCTGCTGACATATTCCTGTTTGTGTGTTTCCGCAGACTCCCTCCTGCAGCAAGTATTTGCCGTGCGCTTCCAAGGCTCCATGGCGGTGCGTTGTGGCAACAATCAGGAGGTGATCTATGAGGCCATGAGGCAGGTGCTGGCTGCCCGAGCCATCCACAACATCTTCAGGACCACCGAGTCCCACCTCATGGTCACCAGCAGCAGCCTCAGGTAGAGTTTATGAACCGTTACATAAATACCACCTCTGAGGACAGACAAAGACAACAGATTGGTCGAGGCTTTATCACTGCTGTGTTTTCAAACTGTATGCATGTCTCCATTACGTCTTCACTATAGGTTGATTGACCCTCAGACTCAAGTTACAAGAATAAGTGTAAGTATGACAAAAGATAGGTTCAGTAATAATCCTTTTCTCTTTTTTACGAAGAGGTTTTTAGTCATGTCCTCCTACTACATTTGTTTTTTTGAAATCTTTATTCTCTCACTGTCCCTTCTCTCAACTCTCCTCATTTCTCAGTTCCAGCTTGGAGAAGTGTGTCAGTTTGCAGCCCACCAGGAGAACGGGAGGCTGATGGGCTTCGTGGTTGAGGGCAGAGACTGGAGTGAGGGAGATGAGGAGGGAGAGCCTTCGTTCAGCGCCTTCGTTTTTGAGAGCAACACAGAGGGCGAAAAGGTAGATACAGACACATGTTTACTGATGCACACACATAAATAACAGGATGTCTGAAGGCTTCCACAGCAGACACGTTGTTGTTCAGAATGGTGGTTGGATGCAGTGTAGGCGAACTCCTCCTGATGACGGTATCATCCACTCACCTGTTGACCCGGTAGGCAAATTGCAGGGGGCCCCACGGGGGTCCTGTGATGTCGTTCAGTTGGGTCAACACCACTCTCTGGAAGGAATCGGCACAGACATCCGGGTGATGGGCCTGTAGTCATTTAACCCTTTAATGGGAGCATTTCTTGGGTGCCGGTATGATAGAAGAGTGTGTCAATCAGGAGTGGATGTCACACAGCTCCAGTGGACTGATAAAAATGTGTGTGTGCAGATTTGGGCAAGCTGGTCGGCACAACCTTTCAGACATTCATTGTACAGCATGCCATAAAAAAATGAATATAAACAGTCATGGCATGTGGTGTCATAAAAATGTCATGGTAAAGTAAAACAGTCATAGTATGTCTAAAGTCATTGTGTAGAATGTCGTGAAACATTTTCTAAAGAAACTAATTGTATAGTCTGCCATGAAAAAGGGCATATAAGTCAAAGTATAGTGTGTCATTAAAAATAGCATTAGTGTAATATGCCATGAAAATCTTAAACTATAATATTTGATAAAAAGTCATACCATTGTATGCAATAAAAGTGTCAAATAAAAAAATGTCATAAACTAAGATTTAGTAAGTTAAAATATGTTGCTGATGTATCCGCTTAGATCTTAAAGTGGCGAAGAGGTCTTCAAATGTGTTCCATACTTCAGGATCCCTGCACATACTCTGTGAATATTAACTTTATCTTTTTGTCTTCATTCACAGATATGTTACACCATAAACTTGGCGAAGGACATTACAGAAGCCAAGAAGGTATCGTCACCATGTACTCAGAGAAAAATGTTTCTGCAATTAAATTCCAAACCCATTACTATGTTCTTTTGATTAAGATGTTGATGTTTAAGGCATAAACCGGAGGACGAAGTAGAATACAATCAAAGTGCCATGGGAGTGTTTCCATTTTCTGTTAGACAACACTGCAATATTATTCCAATGATGCCACTTTATTTGAATCAAACACTTGTAACATTTGTAAACATACTTGTATATATTTATTTTCTTTAAAAGGACCCAGAGGCCCTGGCCCAGCTGATGAAGAACATGCCTCTAACTAATGACGGCAAATTCCTGCTGCTGGAGCCTGAGACGGGCGACACGAGCAATGGAACAGAAGAAGACCTGGAGTCTGAAGCCTAGTCTCTGTTAGGACGCAACAAAACCAACAAAGACCAGAACCACGGTCCACCTCTTGCCCAGGAGAGGAGGCTCTCTGTGGCTGAATGGGACATTGTGACTCTCTAGCCCTAACGCTGCGACTGTAACACCCGTATTAGAGCGTGTAGTTCACTTCCACTGATCCTGTGTTACTAGATTTCCAGTTTTCTGCTGAACTGAAAGCAGATCTAATGGATGCTTTATTAGATCTGCTTCTGTACGGTCAGACTGTAGCATGGGTCTTTGGATTTGGAGTTTTTTAGCCGACTGTGGGCGGTACTTCCATCAAAAGGGACACTAATAGTTATTGATTGTGTTTCATTGTCTGCTAACAGAAGGCGGTGAATCACTTCATTTTTAGGTTTACATAGTTTGGAGAGTTTATTCTTTTACACGTTAACTTGTGCGTAAGGCTCTTATGCAACTACTTTGGTGTTTATTTCTTGTTTATGAATGTACAAAAAAAGGTTATTGCAAATCCAAGGTTAATATCCGTTTCGTAGGAGTGCAGTAATTGAGACATTTTAACACAATGGACTTGAAAGAGGTTAAAGTCGTGTCAGTTCTTCTCATCGGCCGAGCAGTGACTGTTGCATTGCTTATTATTGTAACTCCATGTGAGCGTGTGTGTCCTGAAGCAGTGGACACGGTGGGACTAAATGTTTTTATTCTTTCTGTACTCTTGCCACTATAAGTTACATGGACAAGGCACCTTGACTTAAAGCATTCCCACTAAACTTAACTGATGTCATATTGTTTCGTTATTCACAGATACCTGTACAAGTCCTAGTCATCTGTGTGCAAGGTCCTCCGGGACCGTGAGCAGCCCAAATCTTTAGTGAAATTACAACGTTGTGCTACGCCTCTTGAAAGCCTGTGTAAATATGAACTGTTCCAGTGTCTATATGATGTTTAATCACAGTTGGCTACATTAAGAGCTTTCAGAGTTGATATGCGAGGACTGATGCGGTGCATGATTAAATAGTAATGTTCTGTCCCTTTGCAGAAGATTAAAACATTTCTAAATGTTACAGTAACGCATGTAGGCAGACCAGTGTGGTGTTATGTACTCATTGAAAAGCAACTGGCTCGTTGCTTAATATAAATACTAAACAGAAAACATGAAGGAAGTGACTGAAATTCTGCCTTTCCTCACGATCTGTGCGGTTTTATTCCATTTCAGCCAATTTGAGGTTCACCACTAACCTCATGGACAGTAGAGGTGCACTGTGTGTATATGCGACATGTTTTTGTACAGACGGGGGTCGTGACCGTTGTGTTGACCTGTGCGTTAGCTCGTCTGCTTTCTTTTTCTACATCAGAGCTCTGGGTGCAACGTTAAACAAGGACGGATATTAACTGTTGAAATAATTAGTTATGATTATGTTTGATTGCTTGTGACACTACTTATTGTCTTTAAAGGTTGACAGTTGGGAACATGTGCTTATTTGCTTTCTGGTGTAAAGTTAGATGAGAAGATTGATTCGGTCTTCTCGTCGTGACTCTCTACCAGGAAGCAAATGCGTGTATTTCCCTAAAAGTCGACCGTTCGCTTTAAGCCATAACGGTTAACCATCTCTCCTCCTTTTGCCTGATGTAAATGCACATCTGCGGGTCTTCTGATGCTATAAAGAAACTGTTGTCCATCCGATGTACCCTCCTTCCTTGAGTGCTGGTTGAAATGCTTCACACTATTAATAAAACTACAGCGATGCAAACAAACGAGCTCAGTGCATCAGTCCAGAGAAGTCTGACATTCCTTTGTCCAACTTTACCGTTCCAAGAAACCAAATCCTCTTATTGCGGCCTGCTGCAGCTCGTTACACGTATTACAGCTGTGCTGCAAAGATTTGATGTATTTTTGCTTTGCAAGTTAATGCAGTCAGGAAAAATCAGCGTACTCATGGTGTAGAAAATAAATGTAATTACTAAAGCAGGGACTGCACTTTCTCCCCGCTCCCTTTGTCTTTTTGTAAATGGCTGAAGTTGACAGAGTCCACTACCCATAAGGCTTTACACATAATGTGTCCTTGTTTTCTGAAACCCTGCCAACAAACTGTTTTCTCCACATTAGAACAAAGAACATCAACACTAGAGAATAGAGCATTTATTTCACAAAGCTGTTTTATTTACATATAATTGCCACTTCATGTATATGTACTTAAAATCTACATAGCTGCAGGCACACCTGGGTGTGAGACTGTACAGTGGGCATTAGCATCATCAATTACAGGTTTAGAAGTGAAGCCATTAATCAAGCACACAGACATGGAGGTCAAATCCTGCACATTGATTACCTAAACTGGTTTAAATGTTGAATGCATGCCCTAATGTAAGGAACAGGTGGGATTGAAGATGTGTATTTGGCCAGATGAACTGAATTTATTATCTGTCTTGTAAACACATATCGGGGACTTTAAAAATGTAAACACTCGTGGTACACAATGCTGCATTGGCTCGGTATCTAACATGTATCATGTTAAGTACCTCAGGAGTCTTTGTAGTAGTTGTTGAAGTTGATGCGAAGAAGGAAATCCTCTAGATGAGGCTGGTAGCCTCTGTTCACCAGCTTGGTCACCACTGAGAAGAAAGAAAAGTTCTATATCTGTAACTACAGTTAACTAAGCAAGACCTCAATTTAATTTAGATAACTGACTCAAATAAAAACTACTGATTTAACTAAAACATGTTCAAAGCTCTTATATAATATATTGCCATCCACTGATTGATGGCTTCATAATTTTAAACCTAAGCCACAGCTGAATCAAATCCCTTGATTTAAAAAAAAGATAAAAGTATTTAGTCTTTACCTTTGAAAAGGAAGTGCGAGTAATACTTGAAGGTGTTGTACGACTGCTGCATGGCGATGAAGCTGGGGTGCACTGCCTCCCCCTGCTGGCTGCCCCAGGGCTGTGCGATCAGCTGGGCCCGAAACTTGAGGATGAGGCTGAAGATGCTGTGGATGATGTTCATGACCGGAGCCGCCTTCTCCGTCAGCAAACCCCTGGGGAGGCAGGAGAGTGCAAAGTTTAGCAAACATGACAAGGAACTTTGAAATGACTTTTGAGACTGACACAGAAAAGTGTGATACTAACAACCTCTCCTAATGAGATTAAATCATTCACTGGGTTCAAAGGTTAGCCTCACATCCAGCTGGAATTATAATCAACTCGGTACGAGGAGGTTGAATTAATTTTAAATGAAATTATGGCTGCAGAGAGATCCACTTCAACTCAGAGCCTGAAGAAATCCTTTCACTCTCCCGAGTGTTTCTGTGTTTTGTCAAGTTGCAGCCGGAAATCCTGGTTTAAATCAGACTTCTGCTGTCCTTATCATACGTTTAACACCTTTAACAACACATACTTTTGACTCCTTCTGTATTTGAAGGGTCCCAGAGAGGTGCACCCAGGAGGGCTACAAGTTTATCTTTATTTATCCATTGATCTAAAGCTTTTTTTCAGCTCTGGTACTCACCAGAAACTAAACTCTGACTCTATTATCCATACCAGAGATGAACCAAACTCATCTGGACCTGTGCCTGAATGAGCCCAGAAATACCCAGACGGCTTAACAAGGTTACATCACCACTGTTGGATGTTGGTTTGACCGATATCTGAGATGAGAACACATCAAATGTTCAGTTTGGAGAATCTGGCTCTTTAGCATGTTACAACATTCATTCAACACATTGTTATAAACCTTAACTTTAGTTGTTACTGCAAAATACCCCCATTCAGCACAAAACAGTTTGACAATTAGGGTTATTACATGTAAACATATCATAAAATTCCAATTTTATGTATTCTAATTCAGGCAGCCACGTCAGCAAAAACTATAAAAAGGAGAAAAATAGAAATTTTTATACTAAACTTCACTAAAAGGAATGTGTGTGGAGTGACTTTCTGTAAAGCATGCACTTTCTGTGTACCCAGGTGATGTGTTTTTTGGTGCATTCAGCGTGAACCTACTTCATATAGATTATGCATGCAATCTTTGATTGTACAAGGTTATCTGTGTCTGCTCTCACGCGGGGTGCAGAGGCTAAACGCTGATAACACCGAACACCGAAAGCCGTTGGAAAGTTTTAAATGCATTGCATTCAAGGGGAGACAAGGACATTTGGTCTTCTTCCAAAATGTCCTCTCCAATGCAATATATTAAAGAGAAATATCATATATCACCGAGTGTGTGCACAGAGATAACAGCAGGCATTATACTGTAATAAACACTGACACAAGTGCAGTCCCGGCCCTCACCTGAAGATGGCTCTGTTGAGGTAGTCTGCGTGCATGCGGTGGATGGCGTCCAGGTCGCTGGCGGAGGCCAGCTTGGCTGTGAACTCGCTCCAGGACACTTGCAGGATCTGGTTGGCGATGTATCCCTGCATCACCTTGACAAAATGCTGCATCTCATGTCGGTACAGCTGCAGCTGATGAAACTGCACCGAGCGACCCGCTCCCTTCACCAGCGCTGAGGGAAACAAAGGCGGTAACGCGTCATGATCAGTGCCGCAGGGACTAAAAAAAGAAACCGTTGCTGGTTACAGACATTAAAATGTGAAGATCTGCAGCTTTTCTGTGTCATATCACAGCAAAATCCATAACTCTGTATTCCTGCCGGTCAGATATTTGAGCTCACTTTGTGCACATTCATTCATTCTTAATGAAAATAATTGATAGTTAAAGCACAGGCAGATTCTTGGCTCATTGTATTATCATACATTTTGCAGTCATGTCAAAAAATGCATTCTGAGTTTGTATTAAGTGATCGTCCACACTTTCCCCTGGTGATCAGTAATATTGTTGTTCTGGTCATCGCTCTAATACTTTAATACTTTGTTTTCCCTTCAGGATATCCATCTAAGTAGTCCGTGCCCAGGCTTCCACTGATCAATACTGCCCACTGAAGCACACTATTTTACAACAGTCCCACTGCTGTGAGAAGTGCTTTGTATGAATAAAACATAAATGAATGGCAGTCTTCACCTTATTGCATATTTCATAAACAGGAATAATCTCAGAGCCTGAATCCACGGCTCCCACCTTCTCACCTGTTCTCTTGAGGTGGAACCAGACTTCCCGAAGGCTCCACACCATGTGTTTGAGCTGCAGCAGGAACGAGAACAGACGGTTGTACTTGTTCATGCAGCTGTCCGTGATGATGATGTTCAGCGGCCAGTCCACCTGGGAGATGACACGAAGGGGACGAGACGGGGGGGCAGTGTGTGAAGGTGTGAGAGTGTGAAAGAAAAGAAAGGAAAAAGAAACATGGAGTTAGGAAAAAGAGGTAAAAGGGAGAGTGACGAATGAGGCGAGGAGAAAGGTGTGAGAGCAAGGATGTTGAGAAAGGAGGTGAGAGGGTTGTGAAGGGAAGACAGAGCGGGGTGGGGGGGGGTGAGGAAAAGATATATGAGAAGAGAAATAGTGGAGCAAAAAGACATAAGAGATAAAGATACGGAAAGGAGGAGGAGATTAAAACATTTAAAAGATGAAGATTCCGCAGCACAGTCAGGAGGGTGAAGAATGCACAGAAGAAGAGCAGAGGACAACATGTGCAGGATTAGTCACTGTACGCGTCATCCGAAACACTCGACTCCAATCAATCTACAAGCTCCAACCATTTAAAGTGTGTGATAAGCTCATTTTCCACACCCAGGGCCGTTTGTCAAAACATGACGGGTTGTCACATTCCAGCTGCCACTCACGTAGAGAAACAAACGCGCCCATGCGAGCGTAGGCACTCCGTTAACACACGGCCCATTAAAAAAACACGCGGCCTGACCTTGTAGCGCAGCTCCAGACAGTTGAGGGAGTCGGGGGCGTGCGGGTGGAAGGTCTCTGGGAGGAAGCGCAGGGCGAAGGTGAAGTTACCGGCTAACGGAGTGTCCCCGTGTAGGCTGTACTGCAGGGCCTTACTGAGGATGGAGTTCAGGACCAGGGGGGTCAGCAGCTCGCCGGGGGTCTGGCCAATGCCCAGCTGGGGGGGGAGGGAGGAGGAGACATTTTGTTAAATAAATACACAAAAGGTCAAACACAGATTACTCGCCGATCTTTTCAAGGCCCACGAGCTGGCAGGTTTTTATCCCAAGCAAACACTGCGTGTCGCTGATTACTATGATTAGCTCGCTTTCCGGTTGAAGGTGTGCTAATCAGCGAGATCAGCTGGTGTAGCGTTTGGCGGAACAAAAACCTTCTGTCTCACGGGCCTCAGGGGACAGATGTACATGAATGTGTCTGCAGAACAGCAGCACCAAGGTGTTAGCAAAGGATGTGCTCGTTATTTCACGACAGGAAGATTTGGGCCCATCGGAAGTAGGCTCGGAATCTAGGCCCTCATGTTTACAGAGTTTCAGCTCATTGTTTCGCGCTACAAGCCCACAACTTTACTATTTTGAGTCACTCTCACCGCTCTCAGGACGTGGTTTTCAGCCGCAATAGAGAGCTATTTCAGTGAAAAAAGCTCTAAAAACCAACAGGTATTTCCCTCAGGAGCTGGTAGAATAAATATTTGGACTTGAATATTAGAGACACAACTCTAAATAAATGAATATGTCACTCTGCAACTGCTGAACGTGTAAATACGTAAATGTTTGCTTAACAAGTTCACTAAAAACGTGACAAAATGTCAATTTTGTATTCACAAGGAGCAAGGCTGTAAACTAAATATTGACATGCTGATATGCTGAACGTCTTCGCAAACCGAGCCAGCGTACACATCCAGCAGAGGAGCAGCAACATCATCATTCATTTTGAGCAGCATCTCTGGCCACCTGATGAATGTACCTTCTTAATATCAATATAAAAATATGAATAAGAGCACACAGGCTCTAGTTTTTAGAGAGTCGAGTAACTTCCTCTAGAGAACTGGCCTCTACCTGCAGCGCATACACTGTTAGATAACGGCTAACTGGGTATTATTCAGCCTGGTACTTTATGTATACATTCATTTAGTTTACAAGGTTACCTGCTGATATCACTAAATACATGCAGTGCTGCTCAACTAAAAAAACAAATGTGTTAGATTGAAGAAGAGACGAGAACATTTGGCCTTGTTCCAAGATGATCTCTCTCTCGTCCTTTCCTAGAGTGCAACAAATAAATAAACACTTTCTGCAAAGAGAGCAACACTGTTAAAAGAGCTTCACCTTTTCAAAGAGCAGGTCGCTGAGGGACTGTGCGAACTCGCCGTCCTCCATCAGCAGGAAGTGGCGTAGCGCCTCAAAGTGTCTCTCCACCCCCAACTCCACAAAGAAGTAGTCCACCACTGCCTTGTTCACCAAAGAGACACTGGGGATGGAAGGTGGAGGAGAGAATGACCAAGAAGAGAACAGAGCAGCTTTGACACAAAACAAAATCAGGACTGAAAATGATGCTGACTTGCATATTTGATACAGGTTGTGAGGATGAGCTCAGGGAATATACCGGTGTTTCACTTTTTAGATGACTTCCACCATCCCGTTGCTTTAAATTATTCCGAAGCAATTCACAACAGTGGGATTTAGCGGAGACTCTTCTTTAACTGAAAAGTCAGCAAAGAAGATTCAAAAATAGAGTTGAAAATCTCTGACAGACTCCACCGTGTCGTCTGAGCACGGGATAAAAATGTGTTCCTAAAAGTTTAGAGCTGTGAATTCCACTGCTTAACACACTGCACCCCCTCTGTGTGCAGAAAGGGATGAGAAAGCCATTTCTTTACACACAAAGGCTAAACTGCATAGTGTGCAGAAACACCGCATTGAAGACTGACAGGCTCGTCTGGATCTCTGATGGAATTTCAAAACGGGGAAAGTAATAGGAATTTAAATTCTTCCTCCGGTGCAGAATGTGCACTCCACTACAGTTTAAGTGGCCTGAAGTGGCAGAAAAATGAGGAGATCAGCGAGAGCCTCACACCTGCATTTCACTTAAACAGAGTATTCCAGCTTCCAGGTAGAATAATCACGTCTCCCTCAGACACTCAAACTCATAAACAATACGTTGTAATGTACACTTTCCTCCTGTCAGACACTCACTGTGTGATGAGCGGGGTGGTGACGGCCTGTTTTATCAGAACTGGCAGGGAAACCATCTCGCTGAGTTGGACGGCAGTGGTATCCGTGGCCCTGCGGAGCGTGGGGTCCACAGGGAGTCCCCAGGGGCCCCCAGTCACCTGCTTCAGCAGCTGACACTCGGGGGACGAAGCTGTGCGAGAGGGAAGATGACGGACATGTTCGCTGAATAAATATCGCTCTCGCTACAGCAGAGCGCTGTGTGAAAAACAACAGCATGTACGGTGACAGTGGAAGTAATAAGAAACGACATTCTAGTACGAGGATGCAAAAGTTTAGTAGGATCAAAACATGTGTATTTGGGCTTTTTACTATTTTCTAAAACGATGAATTGATAATGAAAAGAATCGTCAGTCATAAGCAGTCCTAAAACTCTAAAAAGGTCATTAAATGTGTTATTTTGTCCACCTTCTATAGTTTCAGTAACGCTCCCTAAGTGATCACGGCTCCTGACTTTGATCGGCAGTGTGGAAGATGTCTTCGGCTGACGGATTTCACGGAGACCCTGGAAGCCGGCATGAAAAATAGCAGCGCGACACACGGAGTGAAGAAGACGAGCCATGATGCATCTCACCCAAACATGAAGCAGACTTAATACCCTAATGAAATATCACTGCTTTATATATACAGCCTCTGTGCCGGCTGAGGGAGTAAATATTAAACAGCCTCTGGACACATGAAAAAAGGGCTCGTTATAATTGACGAAGTAAGCTCCACCGCTCTATGGTGTATCATTTCTCCACAATTTCACGTAATGTTTTGCTTCTATTTCACAAGATGTGATTTCAGAAACATCAAGGGCTTTTAACAGGCTGCACATACTGTACAAGCCACCTTGAAGATATGCTCGTAGTGTTCGATGTAGGCTGCAGGCTAGTATCACAAGATCAGGGCAGAACATTTCATCGTCTGACTGGATCTGTAGCGCAGGCTACAACGCTTTCTGTTACTAAATGAATGGGTTAAGCTTTGTTTTAGGCGTTTAGTCTCATCTCACCAAGTCCACAAGAAAAGGCAACAGTCTTAGCAGAGTTATTGTACTGTAGAAAAACATTAATTTTACTCAATTTATGGGCCAAATAATTTACTTTTGTTCATTTCATTTATGATCGGAATACAGAACATACTTTACTTGGGTTGTGCTGTAAAATTAGCCCACGCGAATTGTTGAAATAAGGATTTAATTAATATTTAGGCCTCTGCTATTGAGATGGCATTATTAAAGGTTTTATGTACGGGGTTCAGAGCAGTAGAGGATCTGTATTCAACATTCAACATAACTCCAGTTCCTCCTCTACAGAGACACAATGTGGAGGTCCTCAAGGCTCTGTTTTGGATCCCCCTGTTTTCTATTTAGACGATCTGTTTTGGTTATTATTTGTCGTTACATTGTGTTGAGAATCATGGCCTTACTGCCCAAATTCCCCTTAGTATGTAGAAAAATGATGGTCATAAACTTCACATTGTCTATAAGTACTATGTGCCAAAGGAACCATTCATCTTTGTCCAGTTATATGTTCTTAACTGACCCATTAGGTTGTAGCAGTCCTCGTACTGTTCCACCTCGTACTGAGCACACAAAGCCAGGAGGTATTCCTGCTCAGACTTTGCTCCAGGAGACAAACCGCAGCCGGCTGCCCAGGACCCCATGAGCTCCACCCGCTGCTCACCAGGGCTGCCCGACTTAGAGCCTGAAGAAAGACGTAAAACAATAGATCACAGTTTTCATTGATGAGTGTTAGGTGCATATAAATCTGACTTTGTGACTTTCTATAGAGCTCTGACTCATATATTTTGGGACTGCCCAAAACCTACTGCACGTTCTATTCTTTGCAACATAGGAAACATTAATCTAAGCTATCTGTTAAGGATAAATCGCAAAGATATAAATCACAGTCCCCAGGTCAAAGCAGCAACCTCTAAAGTAGTGTTCTGTATTGTCTTGAGTTGATGCAATAAAAATAAAGTAAAATAAAAATAAAACAGTGAGTTTATTGATTTGGTTTACATTTGCATCAAAGATAGTAAGCTGTAGATAGCTGCTTCAGAATGTGCATCACTCAAATATTATTCATTACCTTTAACATCTTCATTGTCTTCTGCCTTGACCACGCAGCCAACCGCAAGTGAAGAATCTGATGAGTGACCATAAGTGCTGCCAGGTAGTGCAGCAGGTTGTGTGTCTGTCCCAAACACCACACAACCCCCCCCTAACGCCGAATCAGAGGAGTGACCGTAGACGCTGCCGGGTAGCGGTGATGAAAGTGGTTCCGTTTTGGTCACAAGACATCCGGTGCCTAAATTTGAGTCCGAAGAATGACCGTGGGCACTGCCGGGTAGAGGAGACAGTTTGTGTTCATCTCCTGAAACTACACATCCAGGAACCAACCCGGAGTCTGAGGAGTGCCCGTGTTTACTGTAACGAGGTCTTTCTTCAGGTATGTTAGACACAAACCCGCCCACTTTAATATTAGCATCAGAGGAGTGACCGTGGACGCTGGGAGAAGGAAGTGTTGCAACAGCATCCGAGATGTTTTCTCCAACCTTAATGTGGGCGTCTGAACTGTGACCGTGAACATTGGCTGTGGGCAGAGGGGCAACAGCATCTGAGATGTTTTCTCCGACTTTAATGTGGGCGTCTGAACTGTGACCATGAACATTAGCGGAGTGCAGAAAGGCTACTACTTCTGAAACGTGCTCACCGACTTTGATGTGGGCGTCTGAGGCATGGCCGTGGACATTTTGAGAAAGACGAGGAGCGACGAACTCTGCGACATTTTGCCCGACTTTAATGTGAGCATCAGAAGAGTGGCCGTGAACACTGACGGAAGGTAGAGGCGCATCGACTTCCGACATATGTTCTCCAATCTTGATGTGTGAATCCGATGCGTGGCCGTGGACGTTAGGGGATGGAAGGGGAGCGGTTCCCTCTGATACGAGCTGTCGGACATTTATGTGAGCATCAGAGGAATGTCCATGGAGGCTGGATGAAGGCTGACGGGCAACGGCATCTGAAACCAGCTCTCCAGCTGTTAGGGGATCACTGGAGACATGAATGTTTGACAAAGAAATATCATCACCAGCTTCATCTTGAACATCTGAGCTGTGGTCATGACCATTATCCTTGCCACTTCGTTCTGGTGCAAAAACATCAGCATCTTTAGTAGCCTCAACAGATTTACTCTCGTCTTCATTTCCCTCTACTATACTTTCTAAATTCCCAATTATCGGTTCTAGCATAGATGCAACCTCCGTCTGCTTGTTTTTTGCCTTTGAGCCACTCCCATCCTCCAGCTGCACTGTGGCTTGAGAGGGATGTCCATAAATGCTTGCGTTGAATGTATCCCGGGTCTCCTCTGGGGTGAATTGGCCCAGAGGGAAACTGGATTTGGAGGCTTGGCCGAAGGGGTTGGCTTTGGAGAGACCATCCTGGGATTGAGACATGTTCTCTCCAATGGGGATGTGGGAAAAAGAGGGATGGTTGTGGAACAAGTCAGGCTGAACTGCAGGTCCCCAGCAAGGCCGTGGCTGGACCAAGGCTTGGCCGGTGATACCCTCAAGTGGACTAAAGGGGGCACTGAAGTCGTAGTCTACTAGTTGTGCTGTAGGACACACTTCAGGTAGGTCAGAGCCGATCTCCTGTAGTGCGACGTCTACCTGCTGACTGGCAGGATTCGGTGACTTGGGGAGACAATCCTTGATGTCCTCACAGATGAGAACAGGGTCAACTGTTAAGGTGGGCGAAGATGGGTCAGGTGGTGGTGATACAGCATCACATTCTTGGGTCTCCGCTGGCTGCTGTTCAGTCTGATCCTGACTGGGAGGTTCCTGTTAGGAGAAGATGCTAATGACCACACACTTCCAAGGAGCATAACTGAGTGGAAATAATTGGGGATTTAAGTTGAGAAACAGGTGTGTTGTCATACCAGTGTCGGTTGTGGTGCAGTCTGTTGAGCTGAGGGAACAGGTGGCGACACTTCCATGGGAGGTCTCTCCTGGCCTAATGGATATTTCTTCAGCATTGACTGGAAAGGAGTCACGAGAGCTTTGCTTGAACTTACCTCCCTTTCCTTAAATAATCATGATAAATATCTTGTTTTCCTATGTTAATTCAATACACACCTGAGTCTGCTCCCTGTCATGCATGAAGAACTGAGCCCTGGCTTCGTCGAGTCTCATACGCTGCACCTGCCACAGGGCCCGTCTCTCTCTGCGAGCTGCCTCCTCTGACAGACGGCTGTACTGATCTATCAGCTCCTTCCTTCAATGTGGGTGCAGTAACACACGCGTTACAGGGAAATATTCAGGTTGAGGGTTTCATCTAGAGCAACTTGCAGTAAATACTTTTCGAGTAAAGGGTTAATGTCACATAAAGCTACAAATGACGATTATTTTCGTAGTCAATCTAAATATCTCAGAGTCTAAAAGGATGTCGCGCTCTAATGTTGTGACACATGATTGTTGAGGATCAAATATGCCATGTCGTATTTATGGGACTGTCCCTTTTTAACCACAGGTCATTTGGTCCCCAGGGAGCTTTGCTTTAGCTAGCTTCAAATTAGTACTCAAGTGAGATGCACGCTGCTCCTCCTAAACATAGATTGGCTGATTTTTCCAAGAAGTCTGATATTCCATCATACAATAAATAACGTCTTATTTGAACACTGAATCATTTATATTTAAATTGGAGTTCATCCCGCAATCAGTGTTCTTTGTACTCGAGGAAGATAAGCTTTCATGTGCATGTGCTGACAAGCGTATTGGTCTGCAATAAGCTTGATGTGTGCTTTCAGGCTCTGTGTTGGCTCTCAATTCAATTATGAGCCATTTCCTTCACCAATTGTCAGCCACTTCAATGATCTATAGTTGACTAATCAGTAAAGGCCAGTACAATATGAAATGTAAGTTCCTCAATGAAACAAAGACTATGTTCACAGCACATCCCAAATAATAAGGTTATTAAACCTGGAAACTTTGCAACAATTTCTACTGCGAGGCAGGAATAGTGAACAAAGCCACGGTGAATGGGGTTCGGTTAACAAGCAGGTAATCTCCTCATTGAGCCAACTATCAACTTTTAGCCATCTTATGGAAATCTATTTGTGCCACGCTCGCATTACAGGCTCTGAGCATATTTGCTCCTGCTGCGGCATCGTGCTGCACGGTTATTCGGCACAAGCCCAGCTGCTGTAATATCCCACGCAGATGGAGTTGAAGTCCCATCGTGTTTGCACATGGTCGGTTCATATATTCCAGACCAAATAAATTCTTAACGGGGATTAATCAATCATCAATAAAACATTTGCATCTCAGGTAGCGGCTGTAAAAGCAGTCAGACCTGGCTCTCTGCTCCAGTTGCTGCTCCAGGGCTTGTAGTCTTTTTTCTCGATCCCTCAGCTCTCTGGCAAAGCCAAAGTCATCCTCCTCCTGCCGCTTCTGGGCTACGCTGCGACACTGGAGCACACAAACACACACGTATCATTGCTTTCTGTTTCTAAAATCGGCTTCAAAAGCAATGGGTGGATAGTATGAATCAGAATTTCTGTTTTTATTCTCACCCTGACAGATGTGTTGATTTTAAAGTGGCTATAATCAATATAATTATAAAAACAATAAGTATATATGCTGCGCCCGTTTTTACGGCGAGTTTTAGCTCAATATTGAGCTGGACAGACCGCAACTTTACTGATTTGGTTCACTCTAATAGCACCACTATGGCAACAGCAGGCAGCTGTTTTCAGCGAACAATTCACTCCCAAAAAAAGAACTGTACAACACCTGCTCAGCACCAAATGATAGACAAACACAGTATCAGTGACTAACTGGTGGACATAGTGGAACACTTAGCAGCTAAAGAGCCAAACAGTTCCCACAGGAGATGGTAGAGACAAAACAACCCAAATGCTCCGTGTCTGCTAGAAGTGTAAATGCTAACGAGATTCTGTGCTCACAACGTGTCTCCCCTGCTTCAAAGTGGCCCCAAAAATATTTTAGTCTCACACACACCTCTTGTTCCTGCTCCAGGTGCTGTTTCATTTCTTCAAAACGCTCCCTCTTCTTGGCCTCGTCAGCCAGACGAAGTGACACCTGGCGCCCTGCAGGAGTGGAGAGAAATAACAGTGGGCTGCTTACCCCCCCCACATAGAAAAGTACATAACATCTCTCTCTCTCTCTCTCTCTCTCACACACACACACTATCACAAAGCGCCATCACCATCTGCCTCACACAAACACCTCTGCTGAGACATGCACAGAGCATCAGGCCAGACTTTTCACCTCCCCTCCCCCCCTCCCAAACTTTGCCACACATCTTTTTGGAGTAATAAATGATGTGAGGAGTTTGCTAAGCTGTGCGAGCGATGATGAGATTTCACAGCCTACAGTGCTGTGAGCCATTGGAAAGCATTAGCCCTGTGCATCTCTGCTGCTCTCCTGAGAGGAATGACTGTAGCTGAAGGACACTCTCGTAGTCAAGAGTGAAGAAGCAAGTGTGGGTTATACAGGGTTGTGCATATACATCAAGCAGTATATAAAGTGATACTCAGTGTGTGTGTGTGTGTAACACTAACCGCGAATGCTCTCCAGGGATTTGGCCGCTGACTCTCTGAACTGATTGATCAGCTCCTGGCGTGCCTGCTCCACTCGCTGGGCCTTACAATAGACAGACAAGAAATCATCATTAACAAAGATCTATCTGGCTGCCCTGTGGCTCCCCCCCCCACCACCACCACCACCACCACCACACCTCTGCCAGTCAGCACTGCCAGCAGCACACGATATAGGTCATACACACCAGTCTGTTACACCAAATTAAGCAGCGAGCAAGCCCCACACTTCAGCTGCATCATTATAATGACTCGCTGCTGAAAGTCTCAGTACTTGAGGGGCAGTGTCACCATCATGGATCATGTTATGTTAAGGAAGTATATATATATATATATATAGAAGAAAAGGCTTAAGGACAATACCTGTGTAATGACTTGTCTTGCTACATGTTTGGCTTCTCTTAGGCTTCAATTGATTTTTATAAAATACATTCTAGTCAGCTAGCAGTGACATAATAGTGTCTTTATTAAAGTAATACACCATGTTGACTGCCATGTCTACTTGCATCGTTCTTCAAGCTAATTTGACCAAAGCTCTTGACAGAGATAACTGATTTAGAAGCAATATTAACAAAAGCTTCAAAAGCATCAGAAGAAATCGGTTTAAAACGCCTCGCAGGTGAGATGATACTGCGTGGGAACAATATGCATGCGTATCAGTACTTGCTCCTCCCTGCTGATGGCGCTGTGCTTGGCAATCCTCTCCATGCGTCCGCGATACACAGCGCAGTCCCTCTCGATCTCCTCCACCTCCCGGAGGGAGAAGGTGACGGCAATGCGAGGCACTGGCAGCTCCGACCAGCAGATGTAGTGCTGTGGACACGCAGGAAACAGAAAGCCAATCAGAAGCTCATTGTTTTAAGTCTTGTTTTGGTGACATCGTGTGTTTTGCCCACCTTGGACCCCCAAAAGGTCTCAACTATCATTACTGTTGATTAACTGATTGGTCTATTAAACCTCAGGAAGGAACGCAAAGTGTCTTTACCGTCATGGAAGACAAAAGCAGCTGGAATCAGTAAATATTTTTTTATTTTATTAATAAAGCTCCTTTCACTTTTGTATTTTATCCGGCAGTATGTCCAGGAATAGCGGACTAAAATTAGCACACAGAGAAACACTGTAGTTACAGAATGCCAATTAGTCCGGAGCATGAGCCCTGCGGTTTAGGTCAGGTAGGTCGAGTCGTAAAAAAACTGAATGTGCTCGTGAATTAGCAGGTGAGTCACAGAGAAGTGAGGAGATTAAATACAATTAGATTACATAAATACGTCAACGCTTCACTGACGCTTTCCATTTGTCGGGCATGTTAAGCTTCCTGACACCATGCCAAGTGGAAGGGTCCATTCATATACAAGGACACGTGCACGCTTAGGCTTTTCAGCAGGCGCTTTGCAGAGAGCAGTGCTGGGAGTCACATGCTAACTCATAGTGACACACCGACTGTATTTAGTGCACAATAACAATGGTTTTACCATACAGACAATTCCGATATATGCAAGATATTGCAGGAATATCATCTAGATTTGAAACAAATAGTTGATTAGGCCATTGACAGAAAATAGATCCGCAACAATGTGATTGATAATTGCAGCAAATCTAAAGCAATAGTGTCAAAAATGTATTGTTCCTGCTTCTAAAATGTGAGAAAACAAAAAGCAATTGGAGACAGCAGCTTGGATTTCAAGACCAAACAATTAAGCAAGAAAAACAAATCGTCATATTAAATATATATTAAAATAATTGTTAGTTGCAGCCCTAATATCTGATCCATTTAGGGCTGCAACCAGTGATTTATTTAATTATTGATTCATCTGACAATTTTTCAATGGTGTATAAAATATCAGGACAGACTGAAAAAATGCTCAGAACTTGTGTGAAGTCCAAAGTGACATCTTCAGATGTCCTGCGTTGTCTGACCAGCAGTCCAAACCTCAAACATATTCTGTTTAAATTGATATAAAACTCAAATCCTCATATTTTAGGAATATTTTGAGGGACTAGTGAATGGTTAGCATTTCAAAAAAGTTGGCAATAATGTTTCTGCAGATCAACTTTTAGTTTTAATCAACTAATCGTTTCACCCTAAGATACATCACGATAGCACCGCTGTCACGAAAGAGGAAAGCATAAATCTAAAATGGCAATATTAGTTGTTTCAAAGTGTTGTCAAAGTGGCAAAAGTCTGCAGTAACGGAGAGCGGAACAGTTCAGAGTTCAAATGTCTGCACTAAATGATAAAAGCATCTCTGCGTCAGTACAACAATTCAATCCATCACAATACTGACGCACGTGGTTCGATAACGTTTTGCAGGAGCCCGTGGCCCCATATGTTGCAGCATTGATTATTTGTCCAATCCCTTTGGGCAGTATTGACTTCCAGATGTTGTTGAAGCATGTTCTAGCAACTAGATAATTGTGGGGTGCGTGTGGACGGCAGAGCTTATCTCTTAGCCAACTCAATACATCGAATGACTGAGAAAAGCAAGAAAAAAAAATGATCAAATATGGCAGGGTTATCTGAAGGTTTATCGTTTTATATGCCTCATGTATTCACAGCAAACACCCGTCAAAGATTCTCTTTGTACTGAATAAATTAAGTCTTAATTAGTTTATACGCACTAATATCTTTACAGAACGTTCAGCTGCTTAAAATCCCCCGTCTGCATACATGAATGTGTTAACTGTGCAAAACAAACCTGCGGGCAGCAGATCTTGAGGAGGTTGATGGTCTTCCCACAGACGTACACGTCATTGCCGATGTGTCTCAGGAAGATGGGCACACACTCCTCCACATCCTTTGAGATCAGAGTGTAGCCTTGGACCCAGAAGTGTTTGTCTGGCCAGAAGCAAAGACGCCCGGTTACATGCTGCTCTACTATTCAGACCAAGTTTACTGCTCCATTATGCCTCCGACAACAACACAAAAACAAAAAAGACGTAACAGTGGTGTAGTGTTATTCAGCCTGCACTAGGCCTAAAACTTTTCCTCATTAGTATGACTTATGGGGCATGGCAAAACTCTGGTCGCTTGAATTAACACTTGGAAATTGTTAGCGCTTAGCTCAGTGATCCTAAACAAAAAGCATAAGAGAACACGAACGCGAGCTTCGAGAACTCTTTACAGAAAGCCTGCGGCTCGCCAAGAAAGCTTAGCCGCTGATTGCTTCCCCAGGCTGACGGACTTCCGAGGAGAACAATGACATTTGTGTGTCCTCCAACAAAACAAAACAAAAAAAAATAAATAAAAAAAATTTAAAAAATAAAAAATAAAAAAAAAAAAAGAGCGGGAGCAAGAAGTGCAGAGGTTCACTGCAGAAGCTGATGAGGTGTAGCCGACGAGCAAATGAACCTCTGAGCCGGACAAAGCCGAGGTGATAGCCTGACCTTCAATGGGGTGTTGCTAACATACAATATTTGGACAGGCTATGATGATTCATAGAAAACTATATTTATGGAGTGCTGTCAGAATGAAGCAATTACAGAGTGGACTCATTTGGGGAACAGGTTCCCATTAAGATTATAATTTGCTTACAAATAATTCCCTCATACAGGGCTGAAGCGAACCATTGTCGATTCATTTGCTGATTAATCGGTCTTTAAATTTCTGTAAATAGTGAAAAAAGGCTCATAACATTTTGCAACAGCTGTAGCTTTCAAATGTAGTTTTTTCTCCCCCCCCCTCTGCGGGTCTGTATGTATCTGCAGGGCAAGAATCCTCTCCTCCTCTTTAAAGAGCCGCGTCAATAATTGGATTAAAAAATAAATCAGCTAGTCCAGATTTGTCAAAGGCAATTACAAGAGAAGAAATGTAAACAAATTATAATAATAATTTGTTTGAGAAAATGTTTCAGCCAGCATGGTGTACTAACTGAAAAGCATGAGGGAACATGTTTGTCTTCTTTCTGTCCCTGTGGCTTACTGAGATGACTCTGGTCTCCAACGCAGGGGTAGCTGATTTTGTTTCTCACCGATTATCATCCAATAACTTCATGACATCCTTTATAGACACAAGGACAAATATAACTAGGCAATAAATGCTGTAATGAAATCAATTGTTTTTTCTGCTAGACAATCTGTCGGGCAGGCTTTCCATCTTCAGAACCTGCTGACTGAGGACAGCATGTGTTCGTGTCGTCTCACCTCTGAAGCAGAGATAGTCCTCATTGACCTGGATCATGAATTCTCCATAAACGTCCCGAAACACGCCGCTATACACCCAGTCAGACACAAACCTAAGGAGAGTACGGGGGAAAAACAGTCACACCCAGTCCTGACAGTCAAAATATAAAAAGAGCAAAGTCTGCATAGCAATGAGGTAAAGTCACTTATTTTGGGTTGTATCATTGTGCTTTGAAGACACACGTCTGCATGAGGAGCGTAGCGACTGACCGTGTATACGGTTCACAGCTGCTCTTCAGCAGCGATAGCAGGACCGGATAGTTCTCGTTGCTGCAGTTATTCTGTGCTTCGTTGTACAGGTAGGACAGCATTTTAACACCCTGAGGAGAGCCACATGACACTGAGCCGACATCCCATCTGATAGGCTAAACACAGCCGTGATGGATGACATTTTGCAGTAAGAAGAAAAAAGCACACACTCACCACAGGGAAGGTAGCCTGGCCTGCACCTAAAGGCCCATCAACACAGCACAGCTCTGACAGGTACCTTAGATTAAAAGAAAGCAGAGCTGGTTGTTGTTTTTTTGATGGGATATTATTGACATCAAGGTCCTCGAGGACACGACTGTACTGCCGACTGAGTGAGGTTGATGTTCAAAACAGTGAAATTAATACTCGACACATAAAGGCAAAAAAAAGGGGCTTTGGCCTCACCTTAGTTGGCGGCCCACTTTGCGGAAGAGGAAGCCAATGGTCAACAGGCTGAGGGTGGGAGGAGTGCTGAGAACACAAGCCCTGTAGTAATGCAGATACTTCCGCAGACCACCTGTAAAAGCCTTAGAGAGAAACACAATGTTATCTATGACGGCGTTAAACCACTGAAATTGTCACGATACATTCAGTACAGATGATAGACAAAGCACTTTTGCACATTTTGACTTAATGTGCCTTTGTGATGTTGGATATTTTTGGCCTTCATGTACTAAAGCTCTTTTTCTTACACGATCATATTTGTGTTTTTAGATTGTTTGTGTACTTGTCTCAAATTGCCACAACAATGGCAACAACAAAAGTCCCGTGCAGTGTAGAGAAGGCCGGGGTAAAATGTGCGATATTAATGCTGATTATGCAACTTACCTGAAAGACGAGGCCTCTTTTGTCGGCACTCTGCAGAGCAAAGCGACTGAGCCTCAAGTAGTGGGTGCCGTGCTGGGCCAGCTCCCCCAAGAGACGAGACACGCTCTCCGGAGAGGCTCCTGACACGCACACGCCGGGTCCCACGTCAAACTGAACACTCTGCAGAGGAGATCACATATTTACAAATGGCAGACAAAATACAATGAACAACCTCTAATAAACCAGCGCTACAACGAAGACCGTCTTTGAAAAGCTGATAATATCGAATTGTTCTTGAGAGTCACCTCCATGGTCATTTCTGAAGGCATGCTTTGTGGTGTTATTATATTAGACCGCAATACATAATCAGGAGTTTATTATGTTGTCCTCTTCATGGTTGCTTTATGAGAACTGGATACAAAAGGTCCCAGACAGGACCCTTCTGGGGGGACAGAAATAACAGACAATGTTTTGCAATCTAGCACAACACTACCACAATGCTTCTAGGATTACCCTTGAGTTTAATAAACTCCTCTGACAGTCTCAACAAAACTTCTTATATTAGAAGCCTTGCAGAAGTTGCATAACGCAGGACTACGGTATTAGATTTCGTTAGATTGTACAGGTGTTTATGATATTGTGTTACCTCTTCTACCAGCCTGCTTGTTATTGATAAAGTCTGCTAGGGAGCGAGAACACAAGGGGGTAAGGGGGTAAAAAGAGAGAGTAAGGATTTAAATAACTAAAATCTTCTGGAGATATCAAAACGTAATGGGAAACAATAAATCAACAGAAGAGCTCTCCTGTGGTTTTGGTTTTAGCATGAGGACTATTTTCATTTATGTCCTCGTTTTGTAATGTATCTTGTCAGGCGACTAACTGTGCTTGACACTGCCACATTATTTCTTTTTGTAGTTTTGCGGTAATATGCTTTTATAAACCAACTGGGTTTGTATCGCACAGATTGTCCATTGATTCTGCTCTCAGTTTCTCTTCTCTCTTGTGTTTCTTTTTCGTAATTGTTGTCACGGTGCTTTTATCACCTCGTTCACTTTTATCGCTTCAGTCTGACAGACTCCCAAAAACAACAGATCAACTGCATTTTATTGCATTTAGGAGGCCAATAAATGAATATAATGAAACGCACCTGGTTGAGAGGGAAGGTCGTGGACGCCACTCCAATCAAGACGTTGAGGAGGTCAAATACCAGCTGTGCCTGAGAGTCCAGGGGCAGCGGGAGGAGAGGAGAGGGTGTAGCCGTGCTGACCACCCTCATCTCCCCCTCCCACAGACGATAAAGCTGGTCAAAGGCCTCCCTGCCTCCCTCTGTCAGATAGAGTGACTCTCTTTTCCCCGGTGGGCTAGTAGGAACAAAAATGTAAAATTAGGTGTTGCGTTCCAGAGAGGGAGAGCAAAACTGAACACATAAGTAACTATAAGTGGAGATCTCTAATACAACGTTGACTCTGCCAAACTGCCTCTTTTGTGACATTGGATATCACATCTACTAGTCAATCAAAAAAATGATTAATTGTAACTGTTGGTTGATTGAATAGATCTATGTACAAGTTTGTCCCTAAAAGTAGTTTGATGTTTTTATGATCAAACTTTCAATAAGCACAACTGACGAGTCACTTACCAGCCAACAGACTCCCAGCAGCGGCGTCTTCCAGGCTCAAACGTGCGGAGCGCCTCCCATATATCAACATCTGGAATGGGGCTGGTCTCTGACTGAGAGTCTGGGGTCATGTTGGAAGCGGACTGGAAGCCCTCATCGTCAGACTGATCCAAAGATGAGGGGACCTGCACAGACAACAATTAATCCTGAGGATGCCACTGCATAACACTGGGGTTTAATCCTTATTCAAAGAAACTGTGCAAATTTGAACCTAACAACTATCAAAGTGCATTAGCTTAGATATTTAAAAAAGACATTGTTTCATACCCTTATAGCCAGCCCAGTTACATCAATATTACTGGGAACAGGAGGCAGGCCCAGTCTTATGTCGATGTCTGAGGTGCGAGTGTGCTGCAGTGCTCCGAACAGCGTCATCCTGGTCTCCCTCTCAAATCTTTCTTCCGCTTCTAATTTAGTTCTCAGAGCCAGCAGCCCTGTGCCTGGAGGGGCACCCATCAACCTCTGAGTTCCACACAAACTCTCCAAAGTCCCCCATTCCTCCCCGCACACTAGACCCCACGCCCGGGCCTCCAGCCTCTGCAGCTCCTCGCTCTGGTAGCTCCAGGGTTGAGGCCTCCGCAGCACGGGCCTCTCTCGTCTCATGTAGTCCCTGCTAAAAGAGGTTGGGGGTGGAGGTGCCGAACCGGCTAGATGCACCAACAGCTCGAGGACTGCGTCTATCTCCTTCAGGCCAGAGGATGCTCCCTCCAGCAGCATCCCCAGCTGCTCCTCCAACCTCTCTGCCTCCTCTCGGCACCCCGCCACCCGCAAGTCAAAGCATATCATCAGGACTTTGTTTTTGGGCGGTGTGTTAGCTGTGGCACTCGCTCCTGAGGGAGGCCCTTTGGTGTCATCTTGAAACAGCTTAGACAGCAGCGAGCCGTAGGCACACTTCTTGAGGGCTCTGCGGAAACCTTCTCTTGAGACTCCCCCCAGGGCACGACGCTTCCAGGACACCCCTGACAGGCTGCAGTCACACAGGGCCCCCAGTAGCTCAGTGATGCTGCTGCTGTTGCAGCTGGATTTCATGTGGTTGTTGGGGCTCGAGTACATGGTGGCACCGTTACCTCAGCGAAAATGGATTTCTGTTGCACAGAACAGACAAGAGATTATAGTAAACATGTATCGAGATTTTAGGAACTAGACATGCTTACAGTCCAACCAAAACAAACTAGTGAACTAGACGGTAACGTTAGCTTTAAGTTAGATGAATTACACCAGCTATTGGTAACTAGCTAGCTAAGCCAACATTTAGCTAGCGTATAATACTGTAACGTTTTATCAAACTGCATATTATTGAAATAGTCAGCCCAGTTCCAAAACAATGCTTCTTGAGATTATTTACCCTCTCGCGATGGTCTGTTTTTCGTTGATTCAGAGTGACAGCTTCAATCTCGCATCCACCCCAAGTGACTCCTTCCAGTGCATGCTAGCGTTTGTTATTAGCAAGTCCCCAACTAGCTAACGTTAGCTGTCCTGCTTAGCTTGTGTGGCAAGCATGCGAAACCTAGTGGGTGGGTCCCCTTCACAGCTCCCAAATGTCTTTATTATTCAGTGGTTGCTTGTTCCGGCACATTAGTGTCAGTTAATATGATGTACTGTTGTTGTCGCTAGCTAGATGCTAGCTAGATGCTTCAGTCATCTTCCATCATCTACCGCGAGGATACGAAACATTTAGAATCTGCCCTCTTGAATCTGATTGGACAATGGAGTGTTCAGACTCCAGTGATTGGCTGTTGTAGAAGCCACGCTGATTGGTCGGGGGTGTTAGTCGATCACAGGAAGACATTTTGCTCCATTCAGGTAACACGGGGAAAACTGTAGATATGAGCTTCCCCCTGTTAGCGACTGTCATCGACAAAAACATCTACATGCAGGATTGCAACGTTTGGCTCGTTTTGGAATTGAATACGAAGTCAATCTCTAACTGCTAGTGTGACTAGTAACTGTTAGTAGGCAAAATAACCAACAAAAGCAACCAGCATTTACGGAACTCAGTCACTCCGTTGACATATACCGCATTGTCTCTCCCATAAGCCTGAATGCAGCAGAAGAGTATTCGAGCAAATTTTGCGCGGGATTCAGAAACTCATCGACACAGTTATGGACAAACCTGCAGCTTTTTTCCTTACCACATGGGGTTCACACACATCAACTGTGTTTTGCATGGCTGTACAGGCTAACACACTTGCTTGTAGAATATGGTGTCCAGATTTCCGTTGATTAAATATCTGTAGTTCATCATCATCAGGCAGGAATGACAGCACTTCATGCATTCTTCAGCAATGCATGTATATGGTTATTCTGTCCATACTGGCTATGATAGAAAACCAAAAAACAACAGTCTTTGTTCTGTGCAAAAATGCAGCTTGTTCCAAAGTTCAGCAGAAGCCAGAATGAGACAATGTTTCAAAGTAAAGTGGATTTTGTCCCTCATCTCTTACATTTGACCTCCCAGAGAACAGTTCTCTTTATAGACGAGTAGTCTTTTCTCTCTCTCTCCTCCCAGCCTATTAAACTGACCTGTTTAAAAGACCACAGCTGATTTAACTGTCTGCAATAGCTTTGACCGCTCTGGTTTTAAGAAGTTTAAATTCAAACCCCTCTCAAATCATGTAGTTGCAAATCTGCTAAAAATGCAACCAAACCTAACAGGATATTTTCTTTTGCTCCAGGGTTATTGCTGAGCTTAGCGAGCCATAGAATCAGTTGTTGGTAGGTTTTAAATTATTCATCAGAACAACTGTTTAAAAATGACACCACGCCATCATTGTTTTTATTTTCACCAAGTCCTCCTCCTCCTCCCCTAAGGCGAAGGAAATCAAAGCCAAATCTCATTAGATGGTTTGAAACATGCGAGTGAAACGCAGCCTGCTGGTAAACACAACCCTCTCCTGCTGAAGGAGAGGCTGTCTGCGAAGAATCCCAGGCAGGAGAAGAGAAGCCAGCAACGTGCAGATTTTAACCCAATTTCTTGACAGAAACCCTGCAGACTTAAAACCGTTATTTTCAGTGTGCAGTATCATTGATTTCTGGACATTCAAGGGGATGGTTATTTTGAAATCTTATCACAAATGCAGTGCACGTCAAAGAATGTTGACTCCCAAAATGATGTAAGCTGTATGTCTTAACAGAAATATTAAGTACAGTATTGACTGATTTTCCAGCAGCGATCAAGGATAATGTACAAGATGCCGTGCTTGCAATAATCAAGTGTAATCACTCTTGCTCTGGCAGCAGCCCTTGAAGTTGTTCTATCTGTTGCTGCATCAATGATCTGCTCAGTTAGACGATGGCCTGCGCAGGCCTCTGGTCTGTCTTTGATATCCCCAACCCTACGTCAGGGTTTGTTAAGCAGTCGGATGAGGCAATTTTGCCTTTCATCTTTCTTTTCTCCAATTTCATTTTTAGCTGTCAGTATTTAATTAATGTTTTCGCAGCAATTTTTCAACCTTCCCCGCCGATGACAGAGATGCCGTGCGGGCTATTTACATTATGAACTCGTTTCATGAAGCCAGACCTTTGCTTCTACTCTGTATTCTGAGCCGTGTGACAGGAACCAGATGTGGCATTTGGGTGGAAAAGGCATCAGCCATCACTATTATAGGGTACGTGCGGCATATAAGCACTGATGCCATCAAGAAAGTACTTTGAGGTCATAATATGCAGAAATATCTGTAGAAAATGTTCATGCACTTGGCCCTCTATTTCGTAAAGTGATTGGTTGGTTTGACTAAGTGATAATTTCCATAAATCCACCAATCACTCCCGTCTGTGTGTAAGCTCTTCAGTGAGTGAAATGTAATGCTACATAAATACCAAAGACTTAAAGCAAGGATTCAGTTCACTTCAACAAGAAACCTGGGGCAAGTGTTACTCTATCACCCAAGGTGATTGTATCTCATGCAATATGCATGAGAGGTGAGTGTTCAATTGAAGCAAATCCATATTCTTAAAGTGAAAGAAACACAGCAGATATGAAGGGCGTATATGTCTCTGAGTTTATTCACGGAGGAGTGTATGATGAAATATGTGGGTAACTGCTCCGTACACACACAACCTTTGTAAAATTTAAGTTCATCCAGTTCAACCAAATCAGGTACAAGATCGAGAATCTTCTGAGCTGCCTTGGATGACGAGTTGGCTCCCATTAATGGCCCCACACTGAAAATGGAGTGTCCCCGTTTCTTATATCATTACAGCACATTCACAAGTTTCCAAATGGACAAAGTCTCGACAACTGCACAAACAGCTTTTTTTCTCTTTTGTTTTTTTAGTTTTTGTCCCAGGACTCAATGCATAGGATTATACAGTTAAGATACAGTATTTCAACATGTTTTACAAAGATTTATATGGTATAGGAAACATGAAATAAAAATAACAACTGCACAGCAGTAAGAAAAGTCATTTGTCGAGTATAGATAGTCATTTATCGTACACACTGTGGAACAGCTTAGAAACACAGGGCAAAAGAAATGAACACCGCTGGAACAATTTTGCGCTATATTCAGTCTACATAAGGACACCCTTTTGATTTCAGACTAATTTAGGAATGCCAGACACTTTCAAGGGAAACCCAAATAACATTGGCCACATTGTTTTACATTTATTCATTTTGGCCGTTTGCCCTATAGCCAACAAAGTCCTACTAAGCACACGCCACAGACACCCAAAGGAAATGCACACATCGAAACGGCAACCGTAAAAGAAATCATACTGAAATGTCTTCAGCCTATTGGCACGTACATGGCTGCAGTAGGGCATCTAGCAATTTAGACAGCACACATAATATCACAAGTCCAAATACATTGCTGTGTCTATAGCACTATTATCATCATAATCACCTAGGTTACCAATAGAATAATTTAGAAACAATATATATGTATCATCCTACTCAATAAGGCACATTTTTGGTTAAAGAAAGGCTCTGAAAGAAGCTTCTTGCATCAACTCTGTCAGTGAGGGCGGAGTCAGCAGTAAACAACGGCGGAGACGAGGATGGAGTCTGCGGTCGGTATGCAATTAAGATTGAAAGCCTCCCCTGCTGATTCCATTATACAGAGTGCCACTCTGCACTGCGCTGAGAGGGCAGTGCCAAGTGCTGTTGGTCGGGATGCCAGGGTGCCACGCTGAGACAGCAGGCAGACGGACAGGCTCGAGGTCTGTGCAAACCTCTCTCTAGCCAAGGCAGGAATCGTTAACATTCTGGGGTCTCTGGAGCGCCGTTGTGCTCCGTCAACTACACACATCCATGATCAGATAGGGGGAGTACAATTAAATCATCTGTCAACAGCAAAACCCACAGTTAAGGGATGAAGCATGGCGGCGTTCAATGGCCCAAGAAATATCAAACCCTCATTCCTACCCTGTCGACACCTCGGATCTGACACTGACATATCAACGACTCAATTACTACAACAATTATGTACATGATTGAATCTGATCTCCCGAACATCACACAAAAGGCTAGAATCGCTGTAATTTGTTCAAAACATACCAAGAAGCAACTGCATCTCTGGCAGGTAATCAGCAAGTCTATTTCATAGCTTTAGCGGCCGGATGCTCGATGACTATTTGGAACATTACAAGAGCAATACAAAAAAAAGGGCACTAAAAAAAAAATCATGAACACTGACAATAAATGAATCAATTTGGAAATTTCTCTAACATATTGCTGAATTGCTACTGGATGTGAATACACATAGTAAGCTAATGCAAGTGTCGATTGTGGCTCATGATATTCTGATATTATTGCAGGGCTAACATTGTTCCATGGGAGAGTAAAGTTGCTTCTAGCCGACACTTAAAAAAAAGTTTTACAGCACAGAAAAAATATGAACTGAAATGTCTTAAAAAACCTTTTGAAATGTCCTTCTGTGCTTTAGTTGAAGTGGAATGTATCATGGCACTGTACAATAAAGGGAGACAGACTGTGCTATTATCGATTTCCACATGCACAAATGGCAATCCAGCTTGAAGCAAATCTGAGTCAAAATTATTTTACTCAAACATTTCTGAAACTACTATTGACCTATCAATCATGTGAGCCTGTGCATTGCTAGATTAACCAGTGTCCTTGTGAGGACCCTTTGGTCTCTGTCAAACAGCTCGTCAGAGCACAGGCTCCAGTGTGTCACTGGGTATGGGGGATTAAAATGACGGAAAGCAGGCGTCCCTTCGCCTTCACGCCTGACAGTAGGCATCCTGTGTGTGCACACGCATTCGCACACATTCACACACACACAAAATTTAGCAACGCACGCTCTTGTTCACATGTTGTACTTCACGCAGACATCTACGCACACACAGGCTAATAAAAACACTATCCGCACCACACGGTGATCCATTTAAAAAGATAATTTGTTTTCCTTATAAAGCTTTCCGCATAAAGACTGCACAATAAAAAAAATATATAATACAATTCTTAACCTTTTCTACACAGAAAGAAATTGAACATCTGATTATCGCCTGTGCTCCACAGAGGGGCTTAACTCTCAGAGATAGGTCTACCGCACTGCATTGTGGGAGCAATATTCAGTGAAGCATAAATGAGCGAGCAGACCTTTAAGGTTTGGCAAGTGAGCTTTAAGGCGTACCTATGACAGTGTAACACATCATTTTCTTCCCCATTTTACTCTCTATCTGCATTTCATTAGTCCCTGCTACTCCACAGCACAGAAAATTTGTCCCAAGGCCAAGATGTACAATTTACACGACCACATGAGTCCCCTCTCACCTTTCTTTATTTCCATGTTTTATTCTCTAAAAGAAGAAATAAGCCCATGTACTACTGGCGGTATCCTACCATTCCCCTCCCTCCCTCCCTTCCTCCACTCGTGGGTTAGAAATCAGTCACTTTGTTTTCCAGGATGGCTGCTATCTGCTGGAGCCGCAGGGCCAGCTGTTTACTCTGGGCAGCTGGGTCCTCGTTTAGGGATGCGATGATCTGAAAGAGGAATGGAAGGAGAGAAATAGAGGAGGATGAAGGAGAAGTCGGAAATGATAAGCGAAGAATTGGGCAGAGGAGGGCAAAAGAAGAATGTCGGAAAAGCGAGGAAACAGGGAAGGGGGAGACGGATAGAGAATGAGGACAGGACAAAGAGGAAGAAAAAGGGCGGAGAGTGGGAGGAGAGGATGGTGTTATTTGACATCAACAGTCACGTCATATAAGCTGTTATTGTTTGCGAGCAACACTTAGGGGAGACTGACAGCCCCATTTGTTTATCCAACTTGTTCATTAGGTTTTGTTTATCCCCTTTTCGTGACCTCAAGTGGCAATGCACAATGGACGCTTAAAAATCAATTCCCAGAGCAATTTTCCAATTCACATCCCACAGAAATGCTTTCAATTAAAATTTCATACAATCACTCTTCTGGCATATCAAGAGTGAAGAGAGAGAGAGAAAAAAGAAAAAGCAATAATATAGTGGGCAGTAGTGCATTCAGTGGAATAGTCTCCTTTGGGTGCGATAGGAAAGAGAAGGGCCTCTTACCCCATCATAGTATTTGCTGGCGTACTGGTAAAGCTGATGGAGAGCCACTTGTGTGTTCAGTTTGTCTGTGTGAGACTGGAGAACATAAAAGACAATTAGGGTTATAGAGAAAATGTAACTTAACCATGAAACTGTAGAAATGAATGAGCAACGTACAGTACTTGTTTCCAGGTTTAAAAAAAACAAAAAAACACTTGTAGACAAAAGAAGGCATAATAATAATAACAAAAATTATAATAATTATTATTATTAATAACCATCAGATGTCAAAGTTATATCCTTAAGATGTTTATGAAATAAAACTCATTTTTTGATAATATTTACATTTAGAAATGACGTCTCTATATAGCATTCATTAGTTAGTGGCAGTCCGCCATTCCCGCGCTATATGTAAATTGCCTACCTATGCACGAGGGATTCACAGGAAACTATCTCATTCTGTCTCATTGATATCAGCCTCACTGTTTGCTCTCCTACATCTGTATAAGAACCGTATTAAGTTGCTGTTCATGCAAACCAAACTCCCGAAATCCCTGAATTTCCAACTCCAGCTCGTTGACATTAAAATCATTCAACTCCAACCAAATTAAGCGCAAATTTTTACCTAATTTGCAGAATGCAAATGAATCTGCATTTCCACCCACTAGTGTTACTACTACTACTGAATAATAGGAGTTGGTTCATTGGGGGAAACAGTAGGTGGACATATTAACAGATGCAGGGACCAATTGCACACCTCCTCCGCAAGATAACCAACTCCTGTTACTGTGCCCTGTTGTTGTTCTGGGATGCTTCTCGCGCAGCAGGAAATCAGATCACAGTAGCAGAATTATTGACGGACTTCTCTATGAAAACAAAATGACTTTGCATGTTTGCATTGTAAATAGATGCACCAACTGCTTTTCGATTGTATTTCTGAGGAAATAGCTGCTTAAGGAATGTTCCTGTTGCGTTAAACCTCATTTTCTGTTAGCACGGTAAGCACAGCTGTCGCATAATCAACAAGGACTGAGAGCTTGAAGTGGCAATCTCAAAGCTTTTCTTTTAAATAAATGTATATTAGCTAACACAACATACAATGAGGATTGAACCTATTGCCCACGGATGAAATTAACGCTATATATATATAATTGCAGTATTAAGAAATGGTTGACTGCGGCGACATAAGAGGAAAAACTCTGTATTACATATAAAAAAATCAAACTATGCACACAACTCTGAAAATGTGAAGCTTGTGTATCAACATAAAGAATCCTTAGGCCTGAGCAAAATCCCATTGTTTTCACTAGGCCTGAACTCTGAAGGATTGTCACTTTAAGGATTATAACTTTAATAGCAGAGCAATCTAAGTGGAACAGAAAATGACAGCAGTGTTTCTCACCCGTGACACCTCTGCCAGATGAGTGTTCATGTCCTGATCACTGACAGGAACCATCTGCCTGATGCCCTTGTAGTAACTACACACACACACACACACACACACACACACACACAAAAAGAGGCTTTAATCATTACATTCTATAATTGTTATTGACAAATCTCTTAAAACAAGCCTTTTAAAGTGGCGAGAAAACAACAGATCGAAAGAATATTGTGCTGATAGGACTTACTCATCCACCATCTTCTTATAAGTGGAGATCTCCTTTGCATAGAGTAGTTTGTTACTTGGAGAGTCCTAGAGACAAAAAGTGGACACAAGGATGAAAAACAATGGCACTTGAGATTGAGTGACCCTTGACATTCCCACTTCTCACTCCGTTTTACTTCTCATGTAATCCACTTTATAGTCTGATCTCACTTGCTCTTTCACCTCAACACCCTCCACCCTTTTCTCTTCCTCCATCCCGTTTCCACTCACCCGGCTGAGTTTGTGCTCGCTCTTGGTACAGGCGTCCATGAAGGTCTGGGCGATGACGGAGAGCGAGGCGTCCACCACTTCAGACACGTGGACGTCAAAGGTGAAGTGGGGATTCTTGAGGATGTTCACCCAGAACCGCAGAGGAAGGCTGCGCGGGGAAGAAAAGGCCAACAAACAGGCCATCATCGCGGTTATCATCATTTCTATTGCTCCAGAATGGGGGAAAATCTAATCAGCCGCATTACATCTGTGAATTAATTTGCGTCAGAGAGGCATTTCATGTGTGAGAGCACTTGCCTGAGGTGCAATTGAGTGCAGTACAAGATAATAGCAGGGATGGAGAAAAGCCTTTCTTGTGGGTGTCAGTTTATTCAGAACAATACCCTCGATTGTCAGTTCGTATTACTATTTCATATGATACTGACCTCTCTGTGAATCATTGCTGTTAAATGAAAATGAAATGAAGAAAAAAATAACCTCAGAGAAGTTCCTAATAACAAAAAGGCATCTACGTGGAGACAGTCAATGATGCGTTTCTTCTCCAACGAAACGTGATTAGAAATGTTTAACCAACACCAAAACTTTGACCTTTCAAGTTTGCGTGCAGCCTTACAACCTAAAGCACCGACCTTGTAGTGCTCGAGTACGCTCGCTAATTTCCCTTCTGAACAGGAAAACACGCGCTCCACACGCTCCTTTGTTAACCTCATGCCACCTTGTGTATTCAAAAGAATGCCCAAGATACAGTAGTTTCCAAAAAACTCTCCTCCCTGATCAGTGCGAATGCCCCGCCATCTGAGACATGAAGCACAAACCGTGTAAAATTCATACTGGTTTGGTAATATCTCCGGGGAAAGCTGCAGTGAGAACACAATAGAAGCATAAAAATAGCAATGTTGCTATAATCACAGAATTAAATTAGCCTGGGACATAATTACCATGTTTGTTTGTTGTTGTGGCTCATACACACATTCATATTTAATACATGGCCCTCAGTTGATTTGATAAACAGAACGGGTGGATGCAGAACGTGGTGTGGAGTCTGGTAAGTAATTAAATCGCTCATCTCCTGTCCTTGTGTGGGTGCTCTCTTGCCAGCCTTACGTCAATCACTAGCATCTAAATGCAACACGTCGTCTTGTATGCTTGAGCCTCAGCCGACGTGACACTAATTTATGCACTTAAATGTCACATGGGAGCAGGGAGATTGCAAATGCAAACTAAGTGAGCTACAATTGTGCATTTGTATTCAGCTCTTTCTTGGACAAGTAAGTTCTATTTCTTGGAGAGTTACTGTATCTCAGGCATTGGGATGTGTGGTGTTGCTCAGACTTAGACAGTATGTGTGTGTGTGTGTGCGCGCTATTGGAGATTTTAGTTAAGCATTGTACAGTACAAATTTGAGGTAATTACTTTAGTATTTCCATTTTATGCTACTTTATACTTCTACTCCCAATACATTTTAGAGGGAAATATTGTACATTTTACTCCACTACAAACATTTGACAGATATAGTTGCTAGTTCAGCCTAATTTTCAGAATAATATTTTGCATTAAAAAACATTTGATAAGCTTATAAATACGACACTCTATCAAAGTAGTTTCCAAAAAAGCAAACGTCTATGAGTTGAGCAGTTCTACTAAAGAAAGACTCCCCTCTTAACTTCTCAGTCATTTTTCCTTTTTCTAAGTCCTTTATTGTTTACTTAAAGTTACTGTGAGGAACATAGAACTGGTTATGATAGAGTCTCAATTTAATACTAATGTGTCTACATGACCTACATAGTAAATGAGACCATCAGCGAGGAGATTTCTATATAGTTATTCCTAATGCTAGCCATCGGTGCCACTGGGTCGGATTCCAGGCAATATCAGGAGGTGAGAGCTCCGCGCCTGGCAGCGGCAGCTCCCCCTCTGGCCAGGAGCAGAGCTTCGCCTCGCTGCTCTGCTGGTCCCCGCTGGGAGCCAATATCAACAGCACGCTGCTGGAGGCCCAGGCCGTATTGCTGGGCCCACTGGAGGGAAGCGAGGAACGGGAGAACCAGAAACAAGAACCGAGCAGGTCCGACTGTCAGACCCTGCCGCAGTAAAATGAGAGGTTTTCTAAAGGGAATCTGCTGCTCTGAAACACTACCGCTTTCGTGCACAGGGACCGCCAAAAATCGACACAAAATGAAAGTTCCTCATAGTAGCTTATTGTTCATGATCTGAAGACTTCCTCTACCACTAATTACTGTACAGTACATACAAATTAAACAGTATCTGTGTAGGCAGGTGTACAGTACTCTTACCTATTAGTCTTCCAGATATGGATGGTCTCCTCATCCACATTGTTGTGTTTCAGCGCCTGCTCATCCAGGAAGTCAAAGAAATATTTGATAGCCGGTGGCACCACTGACCCAGAGCACAGCACGCTGCGAAAGAAGTCATCCACAAACTGCTGCAGTGTTCCCTGAAAGGAGCCACAAATAATGTGAGACAGGGCAGAGACAGAGAGCAGAGCCAGAAATATTATAGCTGTGAGATATATCTATTTGCAGGCAGTGGCAGTGTAGATATTCAGGCTTTTCTGAGAGTATTTTAGCATTTTCTGCCAGAAGCCATCAATTTAAGTTGGCTGACTGAAAACTATTCCTGGAAAAGCACAAATTGTTATTTTCCAGGAATTAGAGAACAACTTAACAAATGTCTGATTGAACAAATGAGCCCGTCTTTGTACCTTGACAGAAAGGAGTCGCGTCAAATAGATCTCTGTAATGGCTTTGGTCATCGACTTGTCCTTTATGCTCCCTCGTTTAGATTTGATCTCATCCAGTTCGTCTGCCGGCCTCACCATGTGAAACACTTTGTCATCTTCCAACAGAGCATTCCCTATGGGCGGGGGACAAAACAAAACTTAAGACTTTCTTCTAATGATTCTGATTATTTAATAATTCACGCACACTCTCACAGAAAATATTCAGATGATAAAGAGCAATAGTGCTTGTCAACTGAATTTGGATGCAGAGAGAATATCTAAGAAGAAATGCTAAACAATAAACTATTCTGAAATGCACATTAAAAAAGGCAGAAGATGAAAGTGCATATTATTTCAGCATAATCTCAAAGTGCGCTATACATACAACAACATGCATTAGCATGTTAAATGAGAACGGGGATGTTGACAAAAACCCTGGGGATAAGAATCAAAGACAAGCATTGTATTCTCAAGCTCAAACCTGATGTATGCTTGTCTCAACAAGTGTGTGCCTGTGTGTACACTAAGAGTGTATTTAGAGATACGTACGCTCTTCATGGTTTTCCTGGTCATAGTTCTGCTGAATGGAGAACACTTTGGACAAGACTAATGTGGCGTTATCTCGCACCTGGAATGCACATAACAGTCTTTTGTTAGACAGAAAATTCACACTATACAATACACACTCACTTCACACACCGTAGTAGGTGCTGTGACTGAGGTAAGCAGTCTCTTTTAGTGCCCCAGAACTAATTCATAATCAATGCGATTGAGTGGACAGCAACGCTGGGCCTTTATTGGGGTATTTAAGCGCCATTTTCTTCGGCGTCAACCCATTACCCACAAATACTGTGATTAGCACTAATCTGACACAACCAATGAATCTGTGGCAGCAAGGTTGTCCTTTAAGAACAACTGCCAGACATCAGCAGGTGGGATGAAAAAGAAGGAGTACCATTGAGAGAGGAGAGAAAAGGGGGACAAGTAGGGGATTTTTGCGAGTGACCTTTTATTTCACTTGGATCAATACAGTGCCAAGAAGATTTAGTGGCCTTCTGTCGCCACTGAGAGCTGACGAGAACAAACCAAGTCCAGGCACTTTCAACTAGCTGGTGGTGATAAATAAGAAATTATTGGCATGTTGCTAAACTGACGAAGGCAAACACTGAAGGAAAAGAGCTATGTTGTGTTTTCTTATATATTTGATTAAGGGACACACATTGATCTGCTGCTTAGCTTGGCACAAAGACTGGAAACGGGATGACAGCTAGTCTGTTTTTTCTTACAGTAACATAATATGCCTACCAGCAACTCTAAAGCTCATTAATTAAGAGCCAGGCTAGCTGTTTCCCCCTGTTTCCAGTCTTTGTGCTGAGCTAACTAACAAGCTGCAGCTTCATATTTAATGGACACATGTGAACATGGCATCAATCTTCTCATCTAACTCTGTTTTAGTGAATGCTGGCATGTTGTTAACACCAAGCAAGTCAGAAAATTAACATTGATTTGACTGGTGGTTAATAGTATGGACATGTAAATAGGGTAATTAGCTTAAAAGAGCATTAATCAAATAATCACACAATGTCTGTTGATGTGTAAATGTGCAGAAGACAGATTTCATACACACCACTGTGACTCAAGATGTACAGCTTTAAGTGAAATAGGGTGAAAATAGGCAACATCATTCACATCCACACGCCCACAGATAGCTATTTACTTCCCCTCTGCCTCCTCACATCCCTTCTATTTTAAATATGTTTCATCAAGACACTAAAATGTTGTCAGTACTCACGTTGTAGTGTGCCAGAGTGTTGAAGCGTCTCCATCTGCCCTCTTTCTGGGAAGTCAAGTCCAGATCTGACAAAATCTGTCCTGTTGAGCCCGGGCGCCACTCTGTGATGAAGGCCGGAAGAGAAAGTCAATCAATCATCGCTGCTACTGTAGGTGTGCTGCCTTGTTTGGAAAATTGTCTCCATACTTCAACCTTTTGTTCTTTCTTTCAACACGGTTTGCATTTATTTTATCATGGGTCATTGTTACCCTGAGGTTATTCTCTAATAATATGAAATAAATCCAGCTACCCATCCTTCACTCTCTCTCTCACTCTCTCTCTCTCCAGTATTTTCTGAATAATTTAAATCTAATTGCAAACTTTGATTTGCACCCCAACATTTCCAATCTAGAAAAAAAATCAGCCACAACTGCAGACCTGAGCTCCACACCATCGGTGACATATGATTCATTTACATGTACCACCAAATGTAAGGGGGTTATCTTTCCGGTTCACCATGAAAGAAGACGGATCTCTGCTTATCTAAAATGTATAAAGGAATGAGATCTACAGCCTGCGTGGGAATAAAAAATGTCTTTGATGTTGGAAAATGTCTATAGAGCTTTTGCCTTTCAAGTCAGTCCCCGAGGTAGTGAAAAAAAAACTTTGTTTAGGGATGAAGGCTATCTTCATGTTGCTTCATTGAATAACTTCTCATCCTTGGTGATGCCTATTTTATCCCACAAACAGAGACAGAAAAAACAATCTATCAAATGAAGTTAGAATGAAATGAATAATCAATTATCTATTTAGACAAATGCATTCTGATTTAATTAAAAAGGCATTTCAGTCAGGACTGAAATAGCGTCTCCATTTGGATGTCCTCTTCCCTCCCTGTAACGCTTACATTATTCATCGTTATTAGACATTTACCGCTTCAGCTCATCCTCTTCTCATGTGCCCTCATTCACTCACCCAGTGTGACACTGTCAACCTTGGGCCGCTGGGAGTACGGCAGGTTCCTGTACACCTGCTCAATGATCTTCTCTTTCACCTGCGAGATGGTGTCACAGCTCAGCACCTTGACGGGCGTCACATCTGGACCCTCGCCCTGCACCAGCACTTGCAGGGTCTGGCAAACACACACACACAGACACATTAAGCCTCTAATATCTATATATATGGCAGATATATCCGTACATGCACCTACCCGGCCACCCTCCCACACAAACACACACAGAGATCCTCTGTCGGGATGCTGTCGTCATGGCAACCATGCTCCCGTAAGCACACTGTGTGGTGACACCTGAAAGGACTCCTGTCACCTTGGCCAGCTAATGACCAAGGCTCAGCGGGTGCAAACTCTGACCCACCTCACCTCCCACACTCTGTCAGAAATAACTAACTGACCACTCGACAGACTCGAACATCGGGGCGGGCAACACACTCGCAATAGAAACCTCGTAAGCCCGTCTGTCCGTCTTTGAGGTGAAAGAGAAGAGCACGCTGTGAATTAAAGCCAAAAGGAAACACGGTGTCTGCCCGTAAAATCTGGCCCATCGAGTTTTTTTCCTCCTTCTATAATTCAATTGCAGAAGGCGATCCATCATGGCAGGAGACGTGTAATTCAGGCTAATTTGGTAATTGTCCTCGACAACGCCATTACCCATGGGTCTTTTTATTTGTGCTGACTTCAACAGAAAACAGCCGTGTGTTCACATTAGCTTCCATTACCGAAACACGATACCAAAGCGAGACACGCAGGCTTTTCCTGACTTGCGTAAACTGCCCAAATAGACACAGAGCGGGTGTGGGTGCAGGTTGGGAGGTCGAGGAGAAGTTGTGGAGGTAGCTGGTTCTCTACACTTGTACCAACAAGTAGTACTTTCACCTAAGCCATGCATTTCCCCGCTATATGGGAATGTGTTGCCTGTGTCGTTTTCGAGCAGAGAACATTGACACTGAAAATGGATGTCACACAAAAGCGGGCAGTCGCCCTGGGGGTTTTTGGTGGTTACCATGGCAACTGCACTGTGTGCGCGCACGTGTGTGTGTGTGCGCGTGCATGGTTGTGTTGCTCAGGAGGCACAAAACACCATGCAATCTCAAAGCAGTGTGTGCAGTTTTTCCGACACTGAGTTTACCAGTTTGTGTGTGTGGGGTCTTTTGTGTGTGTGTCCGTCCATCTCACCAAGACGGAGTACTCTACATCGTCGCCCAACAGGCCCGTGTCGTTGAGGGTGTACTTGGCTTTCTTCACTCTGGCGTCCACGGGCCCTTTCTCGATCTGGTGCTTGATGGCTCGGAACAGTTTGTACAAGGGCTCTCCTGCAGAGTCCTAACACACACACACACACACACACACACACACACACACACACACACACA